ATGGTGGAAACTATATATTTTTCTTGTTTTGTCAATTATATGATTCAATTGAAAAGCCATTTTAAATGGACGGGATCCACTTGTAATAAGTACTAGGATAAGACCCGCACCTTGCGCGGAATAAACTTACTATTTTTATTATGTTTTGGAAAATGAAACAAAAGTTCGGTTTCGGTATTTCAGTTATTAAAATATAACTACTATTCTAAATCCATATTTACTTCAGTTTGATTTGGTTTAAATATTGGTTTTCAGTTTATTCAATTTTATACCAAAATACATTATTATTTAGTTTGAAACCATATTATATATTATAAAATAAATAATATGATCATGTTTAGAGTCATATTGTCAAAAAGTCATTTACTAAAAAAAATTATATATTTAAATAAATGAATAAAAAACAAAAAAGGCTTCTATCATCTAATAAAATGATCAAATTTAGAATTAATATCAAATATCTAAATTTTGAAAATAAAAATAAAAAGAAAACAGAAGCATGAAAGAAAAGTTTTTATATTCTTCTATATTTAGTGTTCATCAAATTAATATGTCTTCGATTGAACACAACTCTGTTTGTTTAAAGATTAAAAAAAATTGTAACGAATTTCAACTAATTGTTGTCCATCAAATTTATAATTTTTACTTCAATTTAGTTATTATTAAAAAAGCAAAAAAATACAAAAAGACTAAGAAAATAAGAAGCCTTAGTTTCATTGAATTGTTAGTTAATTATAGTTCAAGTTATTCAAGTGATTTACAAATCATAATTATAGTTCAACTCACGTAACAAATAGATATACATATTTACATGTTTCTGTTTAATCGGTTATAAATCAAACCATATCCAAATCTTACGGTTTTTATAAAATCACATACATCCGGTTTGTATGGTATATACTAAAAATAACCATATAATCGATTGTGTTAATATCTTTTAAAAATATAAAATTAAAAAGAACTAATATATTTAAATCATTGATAACAAAAATTTTCAATGTGAAAAATTTATTACGTTTATAATTTATAAATGTTCTTGAAATTAATTGAAATTTTTTAAATTAAAATAATTATGTAATCTTATATGGTATATAGTTTAATCTATATATATGTATATATATATATATATATTTGTTTTATTATTGAATGATACTTTTTACTCATATGGTTTTAAAATCATGTGTATATTTTTCTAATAAAAAAAGTTAAACTATTGATCATTAATTTTTAACATAATAATTTTAATAGTTTTAGTAATTTATTCTCGGTTTTTTAAATTCAAAATATAACATATACGGAAAAAATCTAAAGTTTAATTTTATAGCTAATTTGATTGTTTAATTTATTTTAACAATATAAAATTAAAAAATGATAGAGGAGATATAAATTGTTATCAAATATTTATTATTAGAAACATTAATTGTCATATATATATATTTGTCATTTATGGTAATTCCGTAGCTTTTATTTAAGGAAAGAAAATAAAATAGTAATTATATCTAGCAAGAATAATCATAAATGCTTCTATCATAAATATCATATCATATCATATAGTTTGACCAACAAATATATCTAGCGACATATAAAAATCGAATGTGGACCTACTTATTTTTCAATTGAATGTAATTGACTACCTAATTGAGTGACACGTAAGCATGAGTTCTTTTTTAATTATTACAAAATTGAGGTTACAAATTTTCAAATGTTTCTCAATTAATATATAGGGGATGATTCAATTGAAAAGCCATTTTCAATGGACGGGATCCACTTGTAATAAGTTCCGGCATTATCAAGTTTGACATAAATAGATACTATTTAAACTTTCTTTTTTTTTTGTTCAAAATCTGTTAAAACTTTCTAAATTTTCAGTTCCACACAAATCTATTACTAGGAAAATATAATTAGACTAACATCCTAATATATTATGTTACACTACAAAAAATATCATATTACATCACATAAATGGTATCAGAAAAATAAATAATTTTAATTTCAATTACTTATTAATAAATTATACAAATCATGTGTATTAACAAAAGTTATAATAATCAGTACAGTTATAAAATTATTAGCATCACTTCAATAAAACTGATATATATATATATATATATATATATATATATATATATATATATATATATATATATATACTAACATACATCACTTTAAAAAATTGATATAAATATGAATTTACATCAATTATATAATTGATAGATTTTATAGTTTTCATTAACGGTACTTACAGAAATTATACAAATTGATATTACTTAAAAAATAGGATTTTTTGACATCATTAATAAAATGATACTAACTTAATTTTAGTTAAATTAATGTGTTGTTGGAGTTGGTTAAATAAAATAGGAAATTATTTGACATCATTAATAAAATGACACTAACTTAAGTTTAGTTAAATTATTTGACATCATAATCATTTACAATTTTTTCGAATCACAGACTAAGAAAATAAGAATGAATTGTACACTATATCAATCGAACAGTTAATATATATTTAACATTAGTGTATTTTATATAATGTAAGGTAATCAGTTATAATCCACAAAAAAGGAGAAACCACTATCACAATTCACAATCCACTTGAACCAATATGATTTAAAAATAAATAAACTGCACAAAAAGGAGATCACTATCGAAAGAAATATTTTGGTGGTTTCATTTTTTTTTATTTAATTTAATTAGATCACGTTTTTATCCTTGAAGTTTCTGGATTTCATTTACCTGCTTTTAGATTGTCCTAGTTATGGATGTTTTTTTTTTCTACATATATATGTTATTTAGTAACCCACATGTTATTTAATCTTCCAATACTGCTTAATGCCATTGTTAAGGAACTTCCTTCTGATCAAAGCACAATGCTAAGGATTGGGATGACTAATCCTCCCTTTATCCTTGAGCATTTGAAAGAGTAGCAGCCGTTTTACGTCACCCATGTGTCTACACATTTCTACATGCCTCTGTGCAATCTGGCAGTGATGCTGTATTGACGGTGAGTTCCAATAACGGTACTTACACAAATGATACAAAATGATATTACTTAAAAAAATAGGATTTTTTTGACATCATTAATAAAATGATAGTAACTTAATTTTAGTTAAATTAATGTGTTGTTGGAGTTGGTTAAATAAAATAGGAAATTTTTGACATCATTAATAAAATGACACTAACTTAAGTTTAGTTAAATTATTTGACATCATAATCATTTACAATTTTTTTAATCACAGACTAAGAAAATAAGAATGAATTGTACACTATATCAATCGAACAGTTAATATATATTTAACATTAGTGTATTTTATATAATGTAAGGTAATCAGTTATAATCCAAAAAAAGGAGAAACCACTATAACAATTCACAATCCGCTTGAACCAATATGATGTAAAAATAAATAAACTGCACAAAAAGGAGATCACTATCGAAAGAAATATTTTGGTGGTTTCATTTTTTTGATTAATTTAATTAGATCACGTTTTTATCTTTGAAGTTTCTGGATTTCATTTACCTGCTTTTAGATTGTCCTAGTTATAGATGTTTTTTTTTTACGAATACTAGTTATGGATGTTGATTCATGTTTTCATAATGTCTCCCATTTGTGGGCTTAATTTTCTGGAGACTAGTGTGTTGCCCGCCAGTACTCCAAGATTATTATCACCAACCTCTGTATCAGTTTTAGGTTAATTGAATCATCATTTTTAGTGCAAAAATCATATTTTTATATAATCATTTCACTTAGGAAAACTAAGACAAATTATCATTTTGGTTAATATCTTCAACTTCCTCTCACTCTTTCAATTCTTTTACTTTTTTATCAGTTAAAATTTATCGGTTTTAGGTTATTTGATTAAAAACAAAAATTCAACAAGAATCTTGTATGAAGGATTCAAAAATTTATGAGAGATGTTATTTTCTTCCTTTTCTTTCTTTTCATAGGAATATGTCTTTAATTTTTTTTAAAACAAAAACGTCCTCTCGAACCTAACTATTATTTTGCAAGTTTTAAATTTAATACACTTTCGATTTTATGTTAATTATGGAAAACAACATTATACTACTAAATATGTTTCCAAATAATATAATAGTTAATCTTGTGTCCAAAAAATATAACATATTAGATCTCATCTTTTAATAACTATAACCTAATTTCATTTAATATGAAAGCAATTAAATTAATAAATTATTTACATTTTCATAATTGCATTCATTTAAAATTAATTTTTTCAAATTAAAATAAACAATGTATATAAGTATTAGATTAAAGTCAAACAATTGACATCAAATAAGTTTTATAATAAAAAATATATCAAATATATATATATCACACAATTAATCAAATAAGTTAAAGAGATTTTATTAAAATTCCTTCATTGTTAAGATCAGGAGCAATTAGAAGTATAAGAAAAAACGATGTTGATTCAAAATATGGATGAAGAGGGCAAGTCTAATTAGGAATATTGGCTTAACTTCACTACTGAATCAATTCAGCTTCACCACCCATAGAGATTGACAATGAAAATATGGATAAGAAAAAAAAAGGGAAAAAAATTCATACGTGAGCGTAATAGCAAGATTACAAGGACTACTTTTTGATACTTGAGCGTAATACAACATGGTTACAAGAACAAAATATGGATATATAAGAAAAGAGAAAAAAAACATACGTGAACGTAATAACAAGATTATAAGGAAGCTCTCAATATCTTGAGCTTTAAACATGACCAAGATGACCCGTATGAACATTTTCTGGCGAGACCGAATCTAACTGGTTAAGCATGTGGATGAAAAATGAAGACCGTAATAATAACACAGCCCATGCAACTTGCGATGAAAACAAACAATCGCCATCTCGTTCATCAACATGACTTACCATCGATATAACGTCCCCATACTTAATTCCCCGCACCCCATACCTAATCCGTCATTTATTTTTTTGTCACATAAACAATACAACAACCACTTATCTGTAGTTTTTTGTAATCAAACAACAATGTCTATCACGGCCGATGACGAGCTAGCCGTCAGATACTCATCTGGTGGATGGAAATCTGCAAGGCTCATCATTGGTTAGCTCGGTGCAACTTTTCTCGTTATTGTCTAGCAAATTTCGCTTATAGTCAGTTTTTTAACAGGTGTAGAAATGGCGGAGCGGTTCGCGTATTTCGGAATATCATCGAACCTGATAACGTACTTGACAGGGCCATTAGGTGAGTCAACAGCTTCAGCTGCTGCAAATGTGAACGCTTGGATTGGAACGGTGTCGTTTCTACCCCTTCTCTGGGCGTTTCTAGCTGACGCGTTTCTCGGCCGTTTCCGTACTATCACCATCTCATCATCTCTCTACATCTTGGTAATATATTAATCTCCTCTGAAAGATTTTTTTATTTATTACAAGAAGTTTTGTTATTGTTGTCTGAACTTAGATGTGTGTGTGTGTGTTTTTTAAAAAAAAACTTAATGTTTTTGATGAACCAAACAGGGACTTGGGTTACTGTCGTTTTCAGCTATGCTTCCTTCTCACTGCGATGGTCCGAATCATCACGTCTCATGTGCTTCTACTCAGCTCCAAGTGACTCTCTTCTTTATTTCTTTGTATCTTGTAGCAATAGGTCAAAGCGGTTTTAATATGTGCCTTAAGGTATTTGGAGCTGATCAGTTCGATGGAAATAATCAAAAAGAAGCAAAAGCCAAGAGTTCTTTCTTCAACTGGTTGATGTTTGGAAGCTGTGTTAGCATCTTGCTGACTCGTTTGGTCTCTAGCTACATTCAAGAGAATCTAAGCTGGTCATTAGGTTTTGGTATTCCAAGTGTTTTCATGCTACTTGCTCTGTTTCTCTTCCTCCTTGGAACTACCTCTTACCGTTTTAGTGCTGAGGAGGGACGGAAGAAGAACCCTTTTGCTAGGATCGGTCGTGTTTTCTTGGAGGCAGTTAAGAACAGAAGACAACAAGATTTAGATATAGCTAATCCAAATGAAACACTTCTTCTCATGCCTCAACAGAGTTCCATGCCATTCAGGTAACATAATAAACATATATTATAATATATAAATACATAGTATGGTTAGGTACCAATTAGTTTTGAGATGAAATTTTAATTTCTTACTATGCAGATTTCTAGACAAAGCAGCGAGTTCATGTGACTTTGATGAAATTCAAGAAGCAAAAGCAGTACTTAAGCTTGTTCCCATATGGATTACTTCCTTAGTCTACGCCATTGTGTATGCGCAATCTCCTACTTTCTTCACAAAACAAGGAGCCACAATGAACAGATCAATCTCACCAGGACTCGTAGTCCCTGCCGCTACACTCCAATGTGTCACAAGCATATCAATTATAGTCTTCATCCCACTCTACGATTGTTTACTCGTCCCAACCGCAAGATCTTTTACTCAAAACCCGTCCGGAATCACAATGCTTCAAAGGATTGGCACAGGGTTGTTCTTCTCCACTTTTGCTATGGTAGTAGCCGCCTTGGTCGAGACCAAAAGGCTACAAACCGCTAGGGATGATATCACCACACCGATGAGCGTGTGGTGGTTAGTTCCGCAGTACGTTATCTATGGAGCTGCGGACGTGTTCACAATGACTGGTTTACAAGAGTTATTCTATGACCAAGTCCCTAGTGAGCTTAGGAGCGTTGGTATGGCCTTGAGCCTAAGCATATACGGGGCTGGAAATTTCCTAAGCAGCTTTATGATATCAGTCATAGATAGAGTCACAAGCCAGTCTGGTCAAACGAGCTGGTTCGATAACGACTTGAATCAGGCTCATCTAGATTACTTCTACTGGCTACTGGCTTGTCTCGGTTTCATTAGTTTAGCCTCCTTCTTGTGGTTCACCAAATCATATGTCTACAACAGATTAAGCAGCTAATAGAGAATTGTCTCTTTTAAAAATCGGTTTAGGCGTCGCCTAATTACGGCATAACGGTTTCTTGAAAATCAATGTTGAAGAATATTGTTGAGTGAAGTGACTATAAACTGAATGTGGAAGGCATGTCATAAAGATTAAATTTTGTTTATGGTTGTAATTAAAATATTCGATTGATCAACTTGTAATATATAAAATGACTAAAGTTTTTCTCATCGACCTTTGTAATATTTAAATACAACTTTGGCACCTACAAAATAATTCAAGAAGCCAATGGCAAGCACCTGCGATGAGCTCGGAGACTCTCTTCTTCCAGACAACACCGAAAGTTCCATTAGATCCTCATATGGAGGATGGAGATCGGCAAGGTTTATCATCGGTTAGTAAGTCTGCGACCACTCTTAACTAAAATAGCTTTCGTTTATCTCTGAGAGCTTCTGCTTCTGTTTTCTTGGGTTCGTAGGTGTAGAAATGGTGGAGCAGTTCGCATTTTATGGTATTTCCTCGAACCTGATAACGTACCTCACGGGGCCATTAGGAGAGTCAACGGCTTCAGCTGCGGCTAATGTCAACGCCTGGAGTGGAACGTTGTCGTTTTTACCTCTCCTCTGGGGCTTCATCGCTGACTCGTTTCTTGGTCGTTTCCGTACTATCCTAATCGCATCTTGTCTTTATATCTTGGTATATAACAAAATTCCTCTCAATTATCTCTAATATCAACGAAAAATATTTGTAGATAATGTTTATAAAGTATATATGTAACATGGTGAAATAGTTTTGTAAAAATTATTGATCCTAATTTTACATGCATATATTTAAATTTCCTTCCTTATATATTTTTTTTGAACCGGAACCATGTTAGACTACTTGTCTTGCACATGTTAAAAGTGTCTTGTCATGTCTATTTGTCATTAAATTATGCGTTAACAGGGACTTGGGCAGCTGTCGTTTTCAGCCATGAGTTCTTCTGACTACAAAGATCCGAATCAACTCCAAGTGACTATATTCTTCTGTTCTTTGTATCTTATAGCCATAGGACATGGCGGTTACAATCCGTGTATTAAGGTATTTGGTGCTGATCAACTTAATGGAAGTGACTTTAAAGAGACCAAAGCCAAGAGCTCTTACTTTAACTGGCTAATGTTTGGAAGCTGTATTGGCATGTTAGCCACTCGTTTGATCTCTGTCTTTGTTCAAGAGAACATAAGTTGGTCATTGGGATTTGGTATTCCAAGTGTATCCATGCTCCTTTCTCTGTTTCTCTTTCTCCTTGGAACTAAGAATTATCGTTTCAGCATTGCAAGAGGTGAAAACAAAAACCCTTTTGCTAGAATCAGTCATGTGTTTATGGAGGCTGTAAGGAACAGAAGACAACCAGATTTAGATGTATATAACCCTAATGAGACCCTCCTTCTTGCCCCTTTACAAGTCTCAAAGCAACTCAGGTAACATTATATAAAGAGATGTTACTTTCTTTAGAATGTTTTCAGGGCATAATTGTGCTTATACCACTTTGGTTCCTATATATATGTAATGTGGCAGATTCCTTGACAAGGCGGCAATTTCGTGTGATTTTGCTGAAATTGAAGAAGCCAAAGCAGTGGTAAAGCTTGTTCCCATATGGATGAGTTGTTTAGTCTACGCCATTGTAAATGCACAATGCCACACTCTCTTCACAAAGCAAGGAGCCACAATGGACAGGTCAATCGCACCAGGACTCTTAGTCCCAGCAGCTACACTCCAATGTTTTGTAAGCCTGACAATGGTCACTTTCATCCCAATCTATGACCGTCTACTTGTCCCCATCACAAGAACCTTCACTCAAAATCCATCAGGAATTACAATACTTCAGAGGATTGGTACAGGCCTTTTTCTCTCGGTTCTTGCTATGGTAGTAGCCGCCTTGGTCGAGTCTAAAAGACTCCAAACCGCTCGAGATGACGCCATAATACTGATGAGTGTATGGTGGTTGGTTCCTCAGTACCTTATCTATGGAGTAGCGGATGTGTTCACAATAGTGGGTTTGCAAGAATTCTTCTATGACCAAGTACCTTGTGAGCTTAGGAGCATTGGTATGGCTTTGAACCTAAGCATTTACGGGGTCGGAAACTTTGCAAGCGGCTTCATTATATCACTCATTGATAAGATCACAAGCCAGTCTGGTCAAACAAGCTGGTTTGATAATGATCTGAACAAGGCTCATTTAGATTATTTTTACTGGTTACTTGCTTGTCTCAGCTCCATTGGTTTAGCCTCCTACTTGTGGTTCACCAGGTCGTATGTCTACAGTAGACCAAACACATTCTGAAAACATTGTGTGGTTTTTAACTCAATTTGGCTTTTTGCATTTCTGATATGCGCTTCATACCAAACAACTAGGCATTTGCATACGATCGAGGCCTTGGAATCATACTTAACATATCTTTTAGAAAATAAAAAAATGATAATAGCATTTAAATTTGTCCCATAAGAACATTTAAAATTATCCTACTAACATCAAATAGCTTGGTGACACCAAGAAAACATCAAGTGGCTTGGTGACCAAGAAAACATCAAGTAGCAACAAGATTGAAGTTATTTACTTGATCCATTTTTTTTTGAAACACTACTTGATCCTTATCTCCTGATCTGAAGTATATAAAGAAAATAAAATTGTTGGAAATTATTTTTAGAAAACAATTGAATCCTGAGAATACCCTAAGATGAACAAAAGAAATCAAGAAAAACGTACGATTTAATCCAGCGATTTTTTTTGTTAAAATAATACCACTACAAACAAAACAGAACTATTTTATTTGCCAGTGGCCAAAATAACTTACTACATTAAGATAACTACATTAAGGTAATAAACTCGTTACCTTACTATTACTCGAATTAATAGTGTACTACATTAAGATAACAACTAGGATTACCTTACACTATTAGTCTTCCAAACGAACTACTACTCGACATGAATGTGCACTTATATGTATGGCGGGTCCAATCGGTTTTAAGCAGATGAAAACAATATATATTCAATTTCTTGAAACGTTATTCCTTGAATTGCGCAATATACTCTACATAAAAGACATGTTTAAAATGTGTGTGTGCGTGTGTGTTCATAAACTATCCAACTGTTTATCAACGTAACATTTATGTTTTGTTGCAATAAATACCATACATGTCAGTGTGTAGTTGAGACTTTCTATGGCTTTCGATCATACACAGATATATAGTTATGTAGGTTCGTTTGTTATCCTTAAAAAGAGACGTGAGTTATAATGTAACAATAGTGAACACAAAAGAAAGTTATATTGTAACAATATTTTAATGAATTTTGATTTAAACTTTCTACGAATCCCAATTATACACATATATAGGCTCGTGCATAATTCTTAAACAGAGACGTAAGACACAATGTAAAAACGTTACATGCAGTAAGTCAGGTGACATGTGTTCTCTAAACCTCCAAATCTCCAGAGCTTCTTTCTAGGGCAGCTGATTTCATTGCGTGAAGTGCTTCGATCATGAGATGACATAAGTGATGAGGGTCTGGAATCACGCTAAGATCAACTCCAACATTAATAATAACCTTGTTTACATAGCTTTGAATACTGATATTGAGCGTCTTGTCAAAAAAAAAACATCATGTTAGTTTTTTCAATAAAGAAAATTTGATAAGTTTTACAATTCTGGATCTTTCACCTATAATCTCTTTTCGATATTTAGGGATAACCGTTAATAATACTATGTTTAAGGTGTAAGTACCCGACATCTTCCAAATAATCGTAATTAATTTCGTAGATTAGTTTTAAAATTCCATTCATCATCTCTTATCCAACGGTGAACTCAAAAGAAAATTAATCAAATACTCGACCAAAACTGTCATATCATTATTATTTTTTTGTTCAACATAATCATGGTTAACTAGGTGGTAACAAACTGGTGTACTATATTAGGATAAGGTGAAACTATTTCCTCTTCAGGTCGATTTCTATTAAGAACATTTTTGTTTGTACTTGACAAGCCAAAATGGTATCACAATTTAAGTGTATTAAAAAACTGGTGAATGGAATACCTAACAAATCCACTCACGCTGAAACTTCATGGTCGTTTAGAAAAACATCATCATCGTTAATTGTCTTCTTTTTTTTTGAACACCCATCGTTAATTGTCTTGGTAGGTAGAATTATTTGTTTTAGTTTCAGTTTAAGGAAATGAATGAAATGTATTTCAATGGTATTTTTTGAAAATATATGAAACTCTTTTTTTCTTATGAAAATAGTGATCATCATTTATTTTAGAAACGAACAAAAAACCTTAATTCTTATAAGCCATTTTATAGCTGTAAAATTTTAAATTTGTGTGTACAGAGTCGTACCTGTGGTGCACCCGAGACATTTGCAGCAATGTAAGATATGTGATGGCCGAAAAGGCTAATTTCTTCGGTCGGGCCAACGACATTTGAGAATACCATCATTGTGCTACCAAAAATTCTCTGTACAAGGGCTTTGAGTGCCTACTTTTCACACAAACATCGAAATAAGTAATAAAATAGATATAAAAAATACATATATTAGATTAGAACTATCAATATTTTGGTATTGTACCGATAGTCCGAAAGCCTCCACGGTCAATTTGAGCAACCCATAGAAAAATAGAGGTTCGAGGGAATGTTTTTTGCGATCCATAGTAGTTTTAGCTTGACGAAGGTATTCAAGTATATTATCCTCTGACTTTATCCACAGAGGAATCAGAACATAACCTATTGAGTTTCCCCATCTGCACTTTGAACCCTTTGCCATCATATTAGCCAAATCCTGTATAATATATAGTATGTTGGTATCTTATTCTTTTTAGTACCACTAAAAATTGACAATCATTAGGGTGGTTTGTTCAGCACCTCAATATTTTTATTTGGTCTTAGGTTGAAGAAAACAACCCCATGAAGACATAGTTTGTCTAGAGTTTTTCTCGACTTTGAAGTTTTCTCAAGCTCTGTTCACAAATTCGGAAAATCTGTTAAAAAAAATGTAATTGTTAATAAATGCTAATTTATGATAGCAAAACCCGGGTAGATGGTTCACCATATCTTTGATGCAAATATCGTGAAAGACCAGCTTGCACCATCCCGAAAAAAACATCATTTATAGTCTAACCAAAAAAAAGAGAGAAAATAACATAAACTAACTAAAGATTAATCTTTCAAAAAATAACAAAGGAAACTAAGTAGACGTACCATATTCATAGCGTTCTTCACCATTTTAACATCATTCAAACAAATGATTTGATGAATAAACTTATTTGTTGCTCCTGGTTTGCCCATAAGACGTGTTGCAGTGTCCCTCCCACAACATACGAAAATGATAGACTTTATAACTTCGAAGAAAGTGTGGAAAATTAGTCTTACTATGAACCATGACCAAGAAAGGAACGACCAACAAACGTTCTTCGCTTTGCATTTTTTCGGAGCCACAAAACTAGGCAGTGCATTGGGATTAGAAAGTTTTCGAGTACAAGCGAGTAAAAGAGACATAAGAGACATCCCATCTCCCAAAGAATGGTGAAACCTAGCAACAACGACGGAGTCCGCATGTGATGTCTTAAGTTTCAGTATATGAAACTCCCATAACGGTTTGGACATATTCATTGGAGAAAGAGCCATGGTTGACGTATAGTCCTCTAGAAATTCATCAGGATCTTCAGTGTTTGGATCTATATCTGGAACAAACACATGCTCCTCCACTTTTACTTTCGTTGGCATCCATTTACCTTTTCCTTTAGGCTCATTATGACCCGTGACCTACATGTTTCATAGGATGTTAGGAATTATACCTCTGGAATAAGATGAATGTCAATATAGTCATGATAACGGTTCATGATTCACAATGCCAGTGGTCCAAATAAATATTCTCTTTTTAGCTTCTTCCATATATCCAAAACATTATCATAACAAAACTGGATAATAATGTATTAAATGTTTAAAAAATTAGCGCCATAAAAAATAGAAGTATTATCACTACAATTACAGAAACTTTGCCTCAAAAAACTTGAGATATAAGCGATAAAATATGTTATGCATGTGCATATACGAGTTTATGTGTGTGTATGTTAACTACCGACCAGTATGCTAGAGAAGCGTGGATGGTTAATCAATGTATTCTTCAAGCCTTCAACAAAGGCTGATGGATTGGCTTCATTTTTGAATCCAAGGGTTATGATGTTGAAGCAATCGAGACCCGGCAAGCTCAACATTCGTGAAAACGGGCTGACCGGCACCTCTTCAGCAATCACTTGCTTCTCCATTGCGTTATCTTCTTTTTAGGCTGTTTCTATGAGTGATTTCACAACGTGGGTTGTTGGTTTATATACATGCGTCAAGTCTCACATAACTATCAACATTATTGTATTTAAAAGATATAATTGAAAGTATATTAGACTTTATAAATAAAAAATTCTATACAAAGGAAAAGTTGAATATTGTTTATGTAGTTCTTTGAACTTGATGTATCTCAGTGAAAATAATGAGATCAATATCAGACTAAGATTGTGAAACACATAAGTTACAAAAAAAAAGATTGTGAATTAAATCTGTGAAATCCTTAAAGACAAAGTAGAAAAACTTGAAGAGAAAAAACATATTTGGATTTATAACATATTTCGTTTATGATGTAGAAAGTTTAGGGGTGTTAACACTATGCTAAAGTTAATCACTGCTTATTATATTATTCATAAACGATTAATTTCATAATATAATAAATATTATATTAAGTTAATCACTATGCGTAGTTATTCATAATATAATAAATATTTTAGAAATTAATAGATTGGGATTATGATATTATATTATGAATAATATTACATTTTAGCTGATAATTTTATATGTTTATAAAAATTTACGCATGAATGCATCACTTTGAACCATCTATTAATTTCTGTCTGACGATATATTTTATACCATGTTAAAGATTTTTCTATAAAAAAATCTCTAATATTATGAATAATTCATTTTATTGGGATTTCAAAAGTTAAATTTTCAGTATAAAATCATTAATAAACTTTTAGTAAACTATTTGATTAAAGGTACTTCAAATAATTTCTACTTACTCTTTATAACATGTACCCATTATAATATAATTAAAACAATTAGAAGCTAGGGATGAGTATTACGGCTTAAATTTGGGTTCCGTCTGGTTTAATTTGTTTGAGTCTGAAAAAAACTGTAACCGAAGTAAACCTAAATTGTTTTGTTTGGTTTGTGTTCGGTTTGATAGTGTTTGATTTTGTTGTATTTATTCATTTTAGTCGAATTGGTTTTTAATTTTGTTATATTTTGATAACAAAAAATATAATTTTTAAAACATAAAATAAATCATTATTTGACATTAATTAATATTTTTTCATATTCAAACATAAAGTCAAATATTACAGAAAAATATAAAAGATGTAATTCAGCAATTTTATATTATTTTGAACCTGATATAAATATCATAGTAGCTTTCTGTTTTGGTGATAGTATATAAGATTCATATTATTTTACATATTATTTGTTGTCTGTTGATTATTTAAAAATAAAGTTTATAAATTATCTTTAATTGTTTAAGTTAAATGGTTAAATTTCTTAAATCTTAATAGTATTAGTGTATTAGTTAACCTTTTTTTTAAACTAGGATGTTCTAGGTCCGAAGACCCTTAATCATCTTAGACCTGGAGTCAGCCTTTACTGATACCTTTAAATGAAGTGTATTAGTTAACCTAGTTAAATAAATATTTTGGTTTTTTAGTTTGGTTCGGTTTAAAACCAACCAAACCAAACCATTTAAGTTAATAAAATCTTTAACCAAATGATTTGAGACATTACTTTGGCTTGGTTTGAGTCTGTTTGAAATTGACTGAATTGGTTTGATTTGGTTTGGTTTAGATTTTTTGCCCACCCTTAGACCAAACAAATCCTTGTTATAAATGAGGGAGTCATGACCTCTGCCTAACTAGTACTAGTGGAAGTGTGTTTCAAGAGAAAAGTTTAGTCACTTGCATCAGTTGATTATTTAATTTTTGGCCTGGATAAAAAAAAAACAGTTTCTAGATTCATCTTTGGCTCTAGCGTTATCGTCATTGCTAGCATCTCTTGATGGTTTTTCTTTTTCCACGTTTTGCATGGATAGAAGTTTGTCGGCATCACACAATTGATGTAATGTACTTATCTTTCTTTTTTTTGATAAGTTGTACTTATCTTTCTTGAAATATAATTGTTTTAAATTATATGTTTGATCACAATAAGAAATTTTGAAGCTCTTGATATAAATGAAATATTATCATCTATTAAAATTCTCCTTATGTCTTCAAAAGTAAATTTGACGTTAATTATAGGATTGATTCATGAGTATTTCGAAGAATCATGTTATGTTAATATTATAGAGTTTTTTCTTACAAAAGGCTTAATATTATATAGTTATAGTAGTAAAATAATTTGGTGATACACATTTACATCAAAATTTATGTTTTATCTTTACATTAAAAATATTTTCTAGAAGCTTTGTCTCTTGTACGTATAGTTCTGTATGAATCTTTTCACCTAAAATTTTATGAGAGAATTTAAAATACTCGGGCATACTCAGTGTGTGTTTCAGACACTATCCACATTTCGAAATTGATGTACCATTTCTGGTTCTGTGGCAAGAAATAGCATGACGTTATGGTATAATTAAAAGGCCTATCACGTCAGTAGCTGTTTATCAAAGGCCACTAGACAAAGCTATAACTTCTCACAGTTTCAGAAGAAAGCAGTGGACAGTTCAGTTTGTTTATAAAAGACTCGTATGTATATAAACAAAGATCATTTTCGGATTCATTTCCAACACCCAAATTAACGGTTATGTGTGTGATGCTAAGCCACTTATATTTACAATAAAACTTACATTCCAAGTGACCAGTTTCTCATTGATTGATTGGAAATTATGTTATAAATTTTCTATTGATCCATGCATTCAATAGTTAAATTGTCAATATTATCTGCTGCCGAAGATACCAATGACTCATGAAAAGAAAATAGATAAAGAGTAACTATAGTTTATATTCTGCTCATGAACTTTATTTTAAACACATGTTTTATTTTTCCATAAAATACCCCAAATAAATTTAGTTAAACTTTTTAATACTCAAATTTTGTTGCTACTTATTTGAATACTCAAACTAGTTATTTTACTCATTTTAGTACATTTAATTTTAAATTCTGCTCATTTTGGTACCCAAACTATGCTAATTTTAATCAAAAATATTAATAAGTTTAAACGAAACAAAAAAAAATCTCTAAAATTCAAAAAAAAAATCTCAAGAATTCAAATTTTATTTAAGTTTTGAGAACAAAAGTAACTAAACTTAGGATAATGTTTAAAATTTTTGAAAAATTAATTTTGAATAAAGTAAAAAAAATTATTTTAAAACTTTAGAAAACAAAGTTAATTTGAAACTTAAATTAAACTAATAGTATAAAAATATACATTATCCAAAATTTAGTTATTTTTATCCTTAAATAATTAAAAGAAAATTTGAAATTTGTAAGATTAGTTTCAAAGATTTTTTAAGTTTTGTTTGAAACTTATTTTTAAAATGAGCATACTTTGAATATTAAAATGAACACATTTTTGAAAGTAAGTGTATTAAAATAAGTAAAATAATTAGCTTTGATATTAAACCATGTAATAAAAAATGTGGATAAAAAATTAACAAAATTTAGTTGAAATACATATTAAAAATATTCATTTCTATTTCAAATATAAAAATAAATATTTTATCCATTAAAATAAAAGTTATGATTTATTACATGTGTTTTTAGAGCATCCTTTTGAAATTTATTGAATGTGTGTTTTTAAATAATAACATCCTATCATTAAATTTTATTTAACTAAAGTTATATATAGTCTTTATTTCTTAATCTCATGATTAAGCATACACCAGAGCATAAATTTAGTGGCAGATAATTTATTACGTTGTGCTAGGTCATATGTCGATTTTGTACCTCCATTTTAGTTATCTGAATCAGTACGTTAATTTTTTTTATTTTAGTTATTGTTGTCAAGTAAAAATTTTAATATAAATGATGATATATTACACAAAACTTAAATACAAAACCTAAACTCGAAATGTTGCAAAATTAAATTTAAGATTTATTCAATCTATTTTCTTAGCAACCTATTCATTAACTGAGTGGGCCCAACTCAGTTAAAACAAAAAGGATCCGAGTCCAGAGTGTTAATGACATGACCCAATTTAAAAAAAAAAAACTGAGTGAGCCCAGCCCAACTCAGTTAAAACCAAAAGGATCCGACAGTATCTTAAATTTTGAGGAGCTCTGCATTGTTCATTGTTGTTGTTACTTGGCTTTCCCATCTCTATTATATCCTTTACCACCTCTATCAGTCGTTATGTTTTAGAATTTTTCACTAATCAGTTTGTTTTGAATCAACTTCAAGTGACTCTCTTCTTCGTCTCTTTGTATCTAATAGCCATAGGACAAGGTGGTTACACCCCTTGTCTTAAGGTCTTTGGAGCTGATCAGTTCGTTCGAAATGACCTAGAAAAGTCGAAAGCTAAGAGTTATATCTTTAACTGGCTGATGTTTGGAAGCTGTGTTAGTATAACAACCACTCGTTTGGTCTCTAACTACATACAATAGAATTTAAGTTGGTCCTTAGGATTTGGTATTCCAGGTGCTTCCATGCTACTTGCTCTGCTTCTTTTTCTCCTTGGGACAAAGACTTACCGTTTCACCACTGACAGATTAGGAAAGAAAAACCCTTTTGCTAGAATCATTCGTGTTTTCATGGAAAGAATAGAGGACAACGAGATTTAGATATGGCTAACCCAAACGAACTTGGCATGTGTGATGGTCTTTTTAACTTAATTGGGCTTTTTGCATTTTTTGATATGCGCTTAGTTCATACCAAACAACTTGGCTTTAGCATACTAACTACAGTACTAAATGCAGATGCACCTTCATGGATGTACGATGGACTATGTCAATGGTGTCTTCACAAACAAGTTAGTCAAGAACAAGAAGCGTCCTTCCTCTCCAAATTTGTTTTCTTCTTCAAATTACAGTTACTAAACGTATAATCGTCGGATACCATTTTCTTAATAGGCTATTTGCCCTTATTTTCTAGCTTCTTCATGATTGCTTAAACATCAACAAACTACTTCATATATAAAAATGGAAATTAAAGAAGAATATTAAGAATGCGCAAATAAAATAAGAAAAGTCAGATACGATGATCTCAGCGTCTAACTATATAAGAATCAAAATAATTTAACTATCTGCCCCATCAAAATAGTATAGAACAGTTTCTTAATACGTCTAATGCATACTGCGATCAATCATTTGTTACAATTATACATATATAATAAGTAAGTGGGTTATTTATAAAAGAATAAAAAGGGAAAACAGCTATATAGAATACAAGAATGTATAAGATGTCACCAGCGAATAGCGATGAAGAAACCAACCAAACAGCTTATTTCTTCTTTTTCTTTTGACAAAAGCAACCGATGAGGGGATTTTAAAGGATCACTCTGGGGTCTACCAACTTTACTTTTTCAAATACTACTAGTTTTTAAAGTTAAATACGCTTCTCATTAGTTGTTATCTCCATTTTATCAGTAATTCTAGTAATTTTGCAAACTTTTTTTCTTGTAAATGCACTTCTCAACTCATTTAGTTGATTTCTTATGTGGTACATGTAAAAAGGTTGATTTTTGGGAGACAATATTGTACTACATAACGCAAATACATTATATTTACATGTAACATCACGAAATTCTATCAATCCTTTTTAATATGTGGAAATATATTTGTTATATACTGGATATATATTCAATGAATTCATAATAGGTGGCCAAGAAAGTCTGATCACTAATAGTATATGTACAAAACATGACGTGAAATTAAGTAATGTTTAATGAATGTATTTGGTTAAACGCCAACCTAGTGTTGACAGCTCTAATACCTATTGGAATTTTTCCCTTATGATCTGATTTCGCAATCAATTCAGAATCAATAATCCATAAGTTGTAGATCACAACGACGCATCAACAATGGTTCCGATATATATTGTAGATTTTAGTTGTACAAATACAATCATTGAGGATTTCTTTGCGTCCTAGCTAGGTCGTCTCTATAGTTTTAGCTGTTTAGGTGGGTGCTAGACAACGGAGTTGAACTGTGAGACTTTTGAAAACCAAAGCTGTTCGATCATTAGATTATCTTTCTTCCCCAATTAAACCAAATAATGTCTTAACAAAATAAATAAAACGAATGCTTAAAAGAATTATAATATAAGTATAGGTACGACAAGGTCCAACGTTTGCATACGTCAACAACATGAAAAACTGATAGAAATGTTTATTTGGATTGACATTATCCTTTGGACACAACACTTGCAAAAAAAACATACATGTTAATTAGCGCCGCTAGTCTCTGCCCAAAACAAAGAACGCCGCTAATCAATCATAGTAATTATGTTGAAATTTCGATGACTGTACATCTTGTGCGGATTGTCCTTCCTTGTAATTGCAGTGAGATTCATATTTCATGACTTAAAATTAATAGTTTTTGTGACTACATTAAAAATGAGTTTACAAAACATTTACTGATGATATAATATAAGAGTTGCGTGAGGAAATAACATGGGGTCATGATTTCAAACACACTTTAAAATAAGCATTATTAAAAACAAGACTAGCATGCTACACCCCCCGCCCTTTCTTTCCCTTTCTCAAAAGTCAAAATGATTCCACCATTTTTCTCGACTCAAACATTAATTCATTTATTTCTAGTTTGAAAAATTATTCTTGAACTGTAAAGATATGATATTTTGGTACGGACTAAAACAGAACTACTTCGGGCACATAGAAATAATCTTGAAGACTTATATGGAGAAAAACGGGTATAATATTATCACTAAAATCGAGGAGATATCATCAAGATATGTTTATTAAGTCATCAGATCCTACAAATATATATGGTAATATTTGCTGTAAAAAAAGATATGGTAATTTTTACATGAAAAGTATCGCTTATATAAGAAATATATTAATATAGTAATAATCTAGCTTTTGACTTATAGAATATATATATAAAAAATAAGAAAAGGTTAAGTAAATAAAATGTGATTTGGTTGATGATTAAAAATAGGGAAGTGGTTTAATTCATGAAGCAAAAGACGGCCGTTGGAGGAAAGAAAAAAAAAGAAACGGACCCACAGAGAAAGCGTTAGAATGAGCTGTCAAGAAAGAAACAGCTCCGACCAGTCTGTGTTCCCTTCTGCCTTTGGTTTTATAAAACCTCTCTTCTTCTCTTCTCTCTCCTCACAAAACACATAAACACATTCTCTAATCACTTTCTAAATTCTCTCTCTCCTTTCTTTTCTTGAATTTTCCAAGAAATGGCTCAAGAGGAGGGTCAGAAAGCAGCTGATGTTGTCGTTGTCTCAACGGAGAAACCAATGACTGATAAAGAAGTAACAGTTCCTGCTCCAGTGCCTGAGAAGGAGGTGACTCCTCCTGTTGCCTCGGATGAGAAGGCTGTTCCGGAGAAGTTGGCTGTAGAGGCTGAGGCTGAGAAATCTGATACTGTTAAGGAGGAAGAGACTGTTGTAGCTGAGAAGGTGATTGTTCCTACCCCTGAGGAGCTTGAGAAGAAGGCTCTTGAGGAGTTCAAGGAGCTCGTGAGAGAGGCTTTGAACAAACGTGAATTCACTACTCCGGTGAAAGAAGAGAAGCCTGAGGAGAAGAAACCTGCGGAGGAGGAATCTAAAGAAGAAGAGAAGAAGGAAGAAGAGACACCAGCACAAGAAGAAACCGTCAAGTCTGAAGAGAAACCATCAGAAGCAACCGAGGCGGCGGCTCCGGCTGAGACCAAGTCGGAGGAGAAAGCAACCACCGAGAAAGCCACTGGTGCTGAAGAAGACGGAACAAAAACCGTGGAAGCAATCGAAGAGTCAATCGTCTCCGTCACTCCTCCAGACTCCGCCGCAGCACCGGTAGAGACCGCCGCCGAGGCGGAGTCTGTGGAGCCAGAGGAAGTCTCCATCTACGGAGTTCCTCTCCTCCAAGACCAAAGATCCGAAGTGATCCTCTTAAAGTTCCTCCGAGCAAGAGACTTCAAGGTCAAGGAAGCCTTAGCCATGCTGAAAAACACAGTCCAGTGGCGCAAGGAGAACAAGATCGACGAGCTCGTCGAAGCCGAGGCGGGAGAAGAGGCCAGCGAGTTTGAGAAGATGGTGTTTGCTCACGGTGTGGACAAGGAAGGTCACGTCGTGATCTACAGCTCTTACGGGGAGTTTCAGAACAAGGAGCTTTTCTCTGATAAAGAGAAGCTTAACAAGTTCCTTAACTGGAGGATTCAGCTTCAAGAGAAGTGTGTGAGGGGTCTTGATTTTAGCAGCCCTGATGCTAAATCTTCGTTCGTGTACGTTAGTGACTTCAGGAACGCTCCTGGACTCGGCAAGAGAGCCTTGTGGCAGTTCATCAGACGTGCCGTCAAGCAGTTTGAAGACAACTATCCCGAGTTCGCCACTAGAGAGGTACATTAATAGTTGCAAGAAGTGTTTTTATTACATAACTAAAATTAGAGCTACAATTTAAGATGTTATAATTCAATTAGTCACGCCGAAACTGCTGGTGATTTATTCTTTAATTTCCATTTTATAAGTTGTATTAATATTGTTTTGTTTGTTATGTAGTTGTTCATCAATGTCCCATGGTGGTACATTCCTTACTACAAAACATTCGGATCTATCATTACATCGCCAAGGACTAGGAGCAAGATGGTACTTGCTGGTCCATCCAAATCTGCTGATACCATATTCAAGTAATTAACAACTAATAAGCACTTTACAATTTCATCATTCAAATATTTTTTTGTCACTAAGCTCATAAGTTTTGGAAACAGATACATTTCTCCTGAACAAGTCCCAGTTAAGTACGGCGGACTTAGCAATGACATTTCTCTAACCAGTGGAGACACCGTTACTGAAGCCATTGTTAAACCAGCAGCTAAATACACCATAGAGTTACCTGCTTCTGAGGTATATTTACATTTCGAGTTTGATTACAAATAAGTTTATGATTTAAATTGTTGCTAATAAGAAGATTTATGTTGATTGTGTGGCAGGCTTGCACACTCTCTTGGGAGCTTAGGGTTTTGGGTGCAGATGTGAGCTATGGAGCTCAGTTTGAACCTACCACAGAGGGAAGCTATGTTGTGATCGTCTCCAAAAACCGTAAGATTGGGTTGACCGATGAACCGGTGATAACCAATTCTTTTAAGGTGGGTGAACCGGGAAAGATTGTGATCACAATCGATAACCAAACTTCCAAGAAGAAGAAAGTGCTCTACAGGTTCAAAACTCAGCCAATGTCTGATCTTTGAAATCAAATCCGAGACCATGTATTACTTGTCACAACCCAAACTAAGGAGGAAGTATTTTGGGAGAACAGATTTTTAATTAATTTTATTTAGTTTGTTATTTGATATGTAATTTTGAAATCACAAAAGGTGGCTGTGTGTTTTGCTGGAAGTGTTTGCTTTGTTTTGAGTATTGGGGGTTTGTTTTGTGTGTGGAGAATATGTGATTAATATCCAAAAGCAAAAGAAAAAATAAACTTTGTTTCATTACTTTACCTTTTACTTTTTTTACCTTTCTTATTTGTACAACCTGTGTAAATCTTAATGTATTTGATATTTATATATGTCTCTCTCTATCTTTTATCTTTACTTTCATAAAATGATTCTGAAATAAGGTAAAGCATTCGAAAAATGCTCGTTGCGAAATCGTTCAACAGTTAAAAGAGTAACAACTAACAAGTGTTTTTTTTTGTCAGCGAATAACAAGTGTTTCATCGAATATATTTTCCTAAAGAAACTATACATGAAAGCCAGTAATGTACAAAAGATACATGACTTTAGAAGTTAGAATATAAGGAGAAGAGACGTGTCAAGACTGTTTTAGACTTCTTGTTATAGTATCAATATTGATAGAGAGATATTTATATCTTTTTTTTGGTAAAAAAAAAGATATATTTATATCAATATTAACAGAGAGATATGAATATAAATATGAAAAAGGTCCCTCTGTATAATCCATGGAAATGGATAACACCGATGAGACATTAAGAGATAATGGACCCTATTGTTGAAATATGGACAAATATAATTCGTGGATAAGAGACAAATCAAAGCACACGTCATTATATTTGACATTAATATCATATAACTGTAAACTAAATCAATTATGTAAAAAAGAAAAACTCTTATCAGTTTTAGTCGCATTATATTTCAGCGGGTTTATTATTCTGAAAGTGCAATTGCAAAGAGCAAAGATAGTCTATTTCAAGTGATATATAATTGTTGAAAAAGTATTTAGTTCCGTAGTGTGTCTACTAGCTAGTCGATCATAACCAGTCCCGAGTTATGTAGTGTGGCTCTACACTGTCTTACTATGAAGGGCTAAAACTATAACCGTACTTATCAAGTTATTTGGGTAATTGTAACTTTAATTTAAATTATACTAAGAATTATTTAGATTCAATAATTTTTAGTATAGTTTAGATTATTTAAACTAATCATGACTAATTATTATGGCCTACTCATAAATGAAATTAGTCTAAAGTTAGCATCAAGTCTAATTTGCATGATTATCAAATAAATAATTAAACAGATATAATTACGGCCTTATGATGATCATATGTTCGTAACTTATCTATTCATCTTAAATAAATTGTAATATGAAGGTATACAGGTCATTGTTTCCTTCATCAACGTACGTCATTCATTTTGAAAAAGATAATACTATAATAATTTTTGAAGTTAGGTGTGAATGTGCCAGATGAGATGGGAATACATTCAAAATCGTATTTGATACTAATTTCGAAACTTAACTGCCCATGTATTATTTACTGTAGTTAAAAAGAAAGTATTTATAAGTTCTACACAAAAGTGGATTGTTGCTTAACCATAAATCATAACATCGTGTATCTAATTCAAAGCCACATGTTCATTCCAGTTCTCGAGAACAAAAAAATGCCGCAAGTCCAACTAAAATGAATCAAAAGTTAGAATGTTAACTTGAAAACAGATAGAGTTGATTGTAATTTGAGAAATAACTCCAGTTAATGGTTTAATGTAGTAACTTTATAAGTCCATTAACAACCGCTACCATTTTATCTGGGATCGAACCCTCTTTAAAATTTGAATTTTTTTTAGTACAGAACATAAATTTCTAATGGACAATGGTCACATAAATGATTAAACATGTATGAGAACTGAAGTGATCATAATGTCGGGTACGATGACAGTTGGGAGGTTATAAGAAAAATACATAAAATAGTAAAAACAATAGAAAAGGGAGTGACATGCGTGGACCGACACAGCACAAACAGCCATGAATGAAATTTGAGCACATTCACTACTGGCCATACCATAGTCGTCGCATGTGCTTCTTCATCAATTCCTCGTTCGCCTTCCTTTTTGCTTTTCCGTATTTAATTCACAAACAAACAATTAAAAGGTCCTCACTTTCACACAGCTGAATTACACAATAATCAAGGTTTGTTGATCATTTCACTTCCATAAATGGAGAGGTGTGTGTGGGATAATTCAATCACGAAATTTATGACACGCGTAGTGAGATAGCTTTAACACATATGAAGTACATGGATTTCCTCAAAACTATGTTCATGTAACAGTGACTTAAAATTACACATAATACAATATTTCATACTACTTTCCTAAATTACTATACTAGATATGTAATATTGAATAGTTTCATTACAAAATTACATATTATTGAATAAGCATCTACATAATATGTGTAACGGAGAAACCTATATTGTTGTGATGAAATTAGGGGAGCTTCGATGTGTTGTCTCAAGGCGATAGAGCATGGTACTAGGATAGAATTACAGAACATCTGATTTAAACTTAATAAAGAATAAAAAACATACGAGGGAATCCCAATCAATTATTAATTATTGCGGCCAATTACCCTAAGAGATCCGACATACAAAGGTGAGATGATGGTAGATTTTACAATTAAAGTACACTAGAGTGGAGGTTAAACGAAACAGAAAACGAACAGAGGTAGCGCATATGTTTACAAATAATTCAATTCCATCTCAAATAGAATAATTTGTCAATCGATTACATCTCAAATAGAATAGTTTGAACATGTAGTTTTTCTACTCTATCTCAAATAAAACAAGCATAAGATATTTCACACTGTGAGGAGAATTGATTATGTATATAATGGTATATAGAAATGAATCTTTATGTAAAACTAAACAAGTTTAGATAACAAATGGAAATGTATAAGATATAAATATATAATTCCATGAGAAGTAGAAATTGTGCAATGTTATTAAATTTCATTCCATTTCGTATAGAATAGATCTACAACAGACCGTACTATATACAGACAACTAAACAACTATGTAATGCAAATGCTATTCCACACAACAATCAATCTGAGGATAATAAATCCGATTATGTACCTCGGATTAAAAACCCCACAATTCAAACTTAAAAAATAATAAGAATGTATATGGGAATCCAAATCGGCTATGAAAGGTAGAGCCCAATTTCAATAACAGTTCTGACAATTTAATTTGAGAAGGTTGTAGATTTAACAATTACAGTATTCTGGTTCTGAGTAAATCCATAATAGAAGAGAAAATAACACTAGAAGAAGAGAAGGTTAAAACCTGAGAACTTATGGTGGGTATAGAAATCTGAGAAGAATCGAGTGTGAAAAGTGGAATTGAAACAGGTTGTTGAACGGCGCCGCTACAGAATTACCACCGAAGTTGATAATCATAAGGAGATGTGAAATTTGAAGGCAAGGAGACGAAACGACGGGATTATGAGTGAAAAAAATGGAGAACAATAACGCATGATTTGCAACTTTACACTTAATAATTTTTTTTTTTCTACAGGTTTCACCTGTTGAAATAAGGGATAAAACTATATTAATATAGAAAACTAACGGTATAAATAGATCTGTAAGGATTTTTAGCTATTAATTTTTTTTTAGTAAACTATAGGGTCCAATTTCCCTAAATTTTTTTTAGATATTTTATGAAGTGATCCAGAGATTTTGAGTTCTCCTCTCTCAACTACAGAAGAAAATCTATGAGAGGCGAATCGAGTTCTAACATAATGTATTTACACATCATAGAACAAATGTGATTCTTCACAAATCTATTGACCAGAAATAACATAAAAACTAAACCTCACTGAGACCCCCCATGAGACCACTATGACAGGTTCTTACTTGACTCAGTTCTGGAGTATAAACTGCTGCATCAATATCGCCACGATGCTTCTCAAGCTTATGTTTATCACGTTCACTACATCATTGTTTAGCTACAAAAAATAGCACACGACAATAAGACAAAATACAGCCAACAACATGTGAACTAATTGCAACATTTGGCTTCACAAGGCGAGAACTCAAAAAGTCTTATGAAATGGAAACTGTTTATCCACTTATACAGAGCTATATCTAAGCTTCACTGAACTAATTCAGAAAGTCTTAGAAAGGTCTATCAATCTATATCTTTATTATCATTTTTTTTTCGTAGATTAGAACTACACAGAGCGAGAGCTATTAAAGAAGAACAAAACTAAGTTTAGTGAGCATACCCATTTGAATCCTTCTATGTCTTGAAAAGATGCACCTATTATGCTTTCCCCAAGGTTAGCAATCTGGGAAGATAGTACACATACAGCTGCTTCTGGAGGAGTTATCTGTTCTCAACACACCAAAAGGAAAAGAAACTTGCAATTATACAGTGACTCTCAGTCAATGTTCAATGTATGTCAGATTACGACAGTTGAAAATCTGCAATCAGACAAATAAGTTTAGGTATCCAGCTTTCATTTCATGTGAACATTGACTGTAAGTTTATGGTTTATCTACTTTCATGTTTCATCTAACAAAATTTCCTGGTGTACTACGATAAAGCAGTCGTTGCATAAGGGATATTATACTAACCAATCCAACGAGGAGGAAATCAAGTTTAAATTATCTAACTAAAACTCTTTATCAACACAATGTTGATGCGGAAAGAGAAGTTTTTTGAAGCAAAATAACATGAATACTTTCACACTCCTCAACATCAAATATTGAATAACGGTACCTGACCAAGGAAACAGCCACCAGAGGCAAGGAAAGATGATGCTAAAAACCCAGCCAATGTTCCTTCAACACTCATAGCTCCCTCGGTTCCTCTTGGCAGCACAATCTTAAATGTTGTGGCTAAATACCTGCAAGTTTCAACCAGTTCGTGATATAATAGAGAAAAACACATGCAGAACACTCGAGTAGCTGTATTCATGCCATCGCAAGTTTATTGACACAACATTCAATAGAAAACTGACCCCGAATCTTAGCCAGTTGCTCCAAGTAACACAAACCATTATAAAAAAAAAAGTAACAGCTGAATCAGAGTAAGCATACTCACGTAGTTTTTCCAAAAGCTTTCCCAATCTCACTGGAGACAGTGTGGGACACTTTAGTGCAGAAACTGGAAAAGAACCCAAGGCGGAAAAGCTGAGAAGAAGCAAGAACTTTGACCAACAACGTCTTCACAAGCCACAACAAGAACCCAACCAACAAACAAACAATAATCTTAGTCACAACAGGAAGCGCCTTAGTATCCGCAGCTTCATCAACTTTCTCATCAAACAATAAATGCCACGCTAGCCCTAACCATAAGCAATTCTGCACAGCCTTTCTCACAACGTAAACAAAGTTCCGTTCAACAAAGAAGACAACAATCTTCACAATCCAACTCGAGACAAACCTACCACCACATATCAAAACCAACACCATAGTCTCCCACTTCCAAAGATGAAGCTCACAGATTACCTTGTCACGCAAGAAACGTATCGCAAGCGTACAAACCAAAGCAGCTATGATCAGAATCAAACTCAAACACTCCAACACAATCCATAAACTAATCTTATCTCTCCTATACTCTTCTGGTAAATCCTCTTCCGCAAACGGATTATCTTCTTCCTCCTCTCCTCCTTGATTCCTAGGACTCTTCAAGCCTGATTTAATCTGTCCTGACTTCGAAATCCTCCCCAACTTCATCTCTGTCGGCGGATCGGAGAGCCGTGACCTAGTTCTCATCTTTTTGTTTTTGTTTTTTTAAGATCATAGCTGTGATGTGGTGATAGACTGATATACAAGAGAAGAGAGAGAAAGATTAATAATAGTCAACCAAAATCGTTACCATACAAAAACAACGTCATCATCACTTTAAAATTTGGACGACGACACACATCTTTGTCTTTTGATTTTTCTTAACTAAACTTTTCAAAGTTCGAGAAGAACTTAGATCACGCCGCATCGTTGTTTATGAGTCTTTAAATTAGTTTATTTTTAGTAATTTTCTATAGTGGATATTGGAATATTTAAAAAATCTAATAGTTTCCATCTCTGGTCGGTCTCGAATGTGTATATGCATGATGAATATTTATAGTGTCATTAAGTAAAAAGCAACGCAAAGTAAAAATGGGTCTTCCATGTTTCTAAAACACTCTCGATGTGTAACGGTTTTAGTCTCTGGGCTACATCACAGTCAATTTGCATGTACACAGCAACGTTTTCAAATACTCGTTAATCTTTGTTGAATCTTGATGTTTATACCAAAGGTTAAAAACGAGCATGGTTAGTACTTCTCTATCATTGCCAATCACAAGAAACAAACCGAACTTAGACATACAACTCAAGTCTAAGTAAGAACTAATTTCTGTATTATATTTTGTCCGACTAATATGTTATAATTTCTCAATAGTAAAAGTCTGTCAAATAAAAATATTAATTTAGCTTTCTAAGTGTAGCATCAATTCCATATCGTCAATTCCAAACAATTCAATGATAATCAAGAAAAAACCTTTTAGTAATCTTTTTAATTTAGGAGAAAAAAGAAACAGATGCACGTGAAACAAACAAAATTTTAGTACTATATTCGTTTGTTTTTTCTTATGTTTCTTCTGACACAATTTGACTCCTTCACTGTCTCAACGTATCTATCTCTCTGTACTAATTTAATTTGTCTCGGTTAAAAAAGTGTAATGTAATTTCGTCAAGACGGTACAATAGCAGTAACTGTAACCGAAAAGAGAAAAAAAAAACAAAGAGGCCGAAGGTTTCGGCCTGATGATACCTTCAATTGGGCCCAGTTTCGAGCCCATTTTTCTTGTGTCCAACAAATCCGAGAAATTGAATCACTGAACAACGGAAACACCAAAAAAACTCAGAAGAATCAAATCGGAAATCGATTTCGGAAGAAAAAAAATGGGAGAGAAGAAGAAGGAGATCGTGCCACCAGAACACGACGTGAACGCTAAGTGGGACACGTGTCTCGATCTCACGACGCGCCGTTTCGTCTACTCATCCCTCGGCGGCGCCTTCGCCGGTCTTCTCTTCTTCAGTTCCGTCTTCTCATTTCTCCCCAAACTCGATTTCTCGCTTTTTCTGATTACTTGTTGTTAATTGAAGATAGATACTTAGTGATGATTTAGGGATTTATGGATTTCGAATCTTAGAACGAATTGAAGAAACGAATGATTTGGAAGATTAGGGTTTTTAAAGTGTTTTTTGTTTCTTCTCGAGATTGATTGTTTATAGTTTGTGGATTACTGTAGGGAGTCCTGTTACGAGATGGGCGTCTATTGCGTTTGGTGCTGGGATTGGTATTGGCTCTGCATACACAGATTGCTCTCGTGCCTTTGATGCTCCTCCAGCCATTGTAGCAGCTGCTAAGAGTGCAGAGACTTCTGTACCTCCTCAGGTTAGTAAGAATTGCGTTTCTCAAATGATTTTTTTTTTTTTTTAAATGTGGAATCGAGAATTGATTACTTGGGAGCTAATGTTTGAATTGATAGATTTTCTGAGATTAGAAAGGTTTTTAGTGTAGCTGAAGGGTTTACTAATACATGGATAGTTATAGTAAATTGGGAATCTAGTTATGTGTTAATTTTTTTTTTTAAATTTGGTGTCACATATATACATGCATCCTTGCTAGGGTAAGATTTTGAGGATTGTCTTATTGTTAGTAGTTTTTGCTAATGAAAAACATGTACTTGGCTTGATTGTGTTGTAGATGTAGTGTTTGCTACTAAGAGTTAACAAGGATATATAGAGTTTACATGTATGTCTATATCAATTCTAATTGGTACTTAGTAGTTCTTGGTTTAAAATGGCGCAGGGCGAGTGTCTCGCCTCTAGCCTTGGGTTATGGTGACACAAAGCAAGCTCTTTGTGTATGAAAACAAAGAAAGGTCATGCATAAACATAGGCATGGATCGACTAGAAGTTAAACCAAAACAGAGTAATCACCAGTGATAGAAAATAGGAGAAGAAACTATAAACAATAGTTATAATTTATAAACCCTTACTTTAAACTTAGGGTATGTGTTTTTAGGGTTTGAAATTCGGTTTAGTGGTTTAATTTTGATAAACCAATTCGGTTTGACTAAAAATCAGTAAGGCGTCGCTTTATGCATCTTGACCTTTAGAAAGAAAGCGTAGAAAGCGCTCGCTTTGTGTATGTGGCCACGCCTTGAGGTGCTGAGTCGATGAGGACATCGCCTGGCGCCATGACACTGTAAGCGAGCGCTTTTTAAACCATTAGTAAGGTTGAAGGCAGTTTCATGTTGGAGTTGGTACAGCTTTGCTTACTTGTAATGTGCGATTAAGTAGAGTGATACAAGTAACAATAATTCTAACTCATACGTTCTGATTGTCCATGGAAATTGTAATATATATCATTTTTTGGTTTTTTACCATGCGAAAAATGATCCATGACAAGGTAGAGGTTTATTTTAATATTTGCTTTTTTTTACCCCTTGATGCTACAGGCTGCAGACGAGTAGACAATGATGATAAAGCCGAAAGTAAGTGAACTCCCATGGAAAGATCTGCAAGGCTGTTCAGAATCACACAAATGATTGTTGAATTGTTTCCTAAACTCTTACCAAATGGACAAATCTTTTGAGATTACTACCAAAATGTAAAACCTTCGTTTTCTTTCTTTGTTCTGTTAATCGTTTTCAACAAATTGACGTCTTAAAATGTTATATCAGTGAGGCGCACTCTTATTCCGATAATAAACAACTATTCCTCAAGCAACAACTTGAAAGATTGGAGATTTTTTTATCTCTAATTTAGTCAATCAACAAACAAAAAGATATGTTGAAAATTTGTAAACCGGGAATAACCAAAAGTCGTAGAGAGCAGATGGGACCCACAAACTAAAAAAAAAGACCGAACCAATCCGAGTTCCAATGAACCGCCATAGTCACCGACTTAGTTTAAACCAGCAACCATCCTGTAATGAATTAAGGAAGATATTTAATTTTTTTTAGTACCAATTTCAGGCAAAAATAGAGAACGGCGAAGAAAAAAAATGAATAGGGCTCCGGAGAATGATCTTTGCTCGATATGTCATTCTCACTTCACGGCTCCTTGCCAAGCCAATTGCTCTCATTGGTTCTGTGGTAACCCTTCTATCTCTCCCTCTCATAGTCTTAAGTTTTTTTTCTTACATCTTGATTCGGTTCTGTTCCATGGGGATTTGACTTTTCCCATTCAGCAATTATGCTCACGAGTTCTCTCCGATCGTTTCCTGCTAATAATGACTAGTCTTATAGAGTGTGATTCGTGTTGCATTTACATTATCAACTGCAATGTTAGGCTCCAACATTTTGTTTGACTTTTTTTTTTTTCTTGGACATGTGTTCTAATTCGAAACGGTGATGTTGGCTAGTATGTATCTGCAGATTTCATGACCGATTACAGTTTCTTGAATAGGTTGGGGTTAGTAGGTTCAGTGAGTTTCTTTTACCTACCTTTTGTTTTGCTTCATGCTAATGTCTTTAAGACCTTTGTACTCTATAATTTTTGCAATTATAGCCTTTAGTTTGTGTCTTGTTCTCTCAGTGAGTTCAGTTCTATATGCTTAGACTTTTGTTTTAACCAAAAGAAAGTTCCCTAAGTGTTAATGTGTTATTCATTACGTTAGGTCTGAGTTTAGTGTGTTCTGTAGGTTCACAGCTCTAGTAATGAGCTTTGTTTGACTTCAAATTTCAGACACGTTCTTGATAATGTCTCTTTTTAATTCTTATTCTTAAGGAAATTGCATAATGCTTGTGTGGAGGCATGGATCTACACTACAGCCATGCAAATGCCCCTTGTGTCGTCGTCCCATTAGTTTGCTCGTTCCTACAGAGGACACAACCCGAGACCATAATGACTCCACTGTTCTTCGTGATCTTGAAACCTATAACCGACTCTTTGGCGGACGACCAACTAGTTTAGTTCAGGTAATGTGGTCTTTCTTGTATGAGTGCACTCTTATGTCAGATACTGAACTTCTTCTTCTTCTTCTCTTGCCAGAGGATGCAAGACCTTCCCTTCTTACTTCGGAGATTGTTACGGGAAATGATGGATCCACAAAGAACACTTCCACTTGTCATCAGGGCCCGGGTTTATATCGCAGTTAAGCTCCCACCTAACTCTCTCTTAGACTTTGATCTGTCTGTTATTACAGAAAGATCAGTCATGTTGTGCGTTAAGTTAAACGCGGTTTCTTTTCATTGGATGCAGATGATTCTCAGTGCTGTTTACATAGTCAGTCCAATTGATATCATTCCAGAAGGTGTGATTAGTCTTACTAATCATGATGTCTTTTATCTCACTGTATTCTCTCACAAATCATTTTTCTTTTAGGAATTCTTGGGGTAGTTGGTCTGCTTGATGATCTACTCATAGCATTGATTTGCTTCCTCCATGTTGCTGCTCTGTACCGCTCCGTTCTCTATTTCCGTCATGCCGGTTCGTGAACCCAGTGAATGTTGTTGACATTATGTGCTCTTACGTTTTATCTCTGTCTTTGTCGTTGATCACTTAACCTTTATAGACACGATCGTGTTCTGTTTTTGACTATGAAATGGGTAAGGCTGATAGGACCATAGCTCAAAAAGCCTTGAACCACAAATCAATCATCATTCCTGAAACCTATAGATAAGCCTTTTTGACCATCCCACTCATGTCTCAGTGTCATTTGCGGTTTGACTGAAGAAACTGTGAGGTTGATAGGAACTTGATGTTCACTCTCACTTAAGACACGGATCAATTATCTTTTCACAAACATTAGTATTCATAACTAAAGTGAAACCATTGAGACTGAGCGGTCATCTTCCAATAACTTTGATGAGGTCAGTCATCCATGGGCGGGCGGCTCATGATTCATCTAAAGGAATCAACATCGCTTCTAGACCAAGTCTCACTTGGCAAAATCAGGTTATTGCAAATGGATCTTTTATGGTGAATTTGAGAAAAAGGCAAAAGTGGCTTTTCCCATTAGTCTCCAAGGGTTGAACAGTTTCTTCCAGACATAGAGACAACACACTGTGTCGCGGTAGATGAGTGGACCCACAAGATAGAGCCACCATTTTTTTGTCTCAATATGGTCACACGTGCATAGACACAGGTCGAGGATTGTGTTCACATGTAACACTCAGAAACACATACGCGTGAAAAACTCATCTTTTTAATGTGCATGTACCGAAAGTGACGTTGCTCCACTGGACTCACCGCCTAAAACCCATCTTCCAATCTTGTCTCCTCTCTTCTGGCTTCGATGTTAAATTAAATGCATTCTCAACCAAATTTATCGCTATTTTCTCCTCTAGATTCAGCGTGATTGTAATTTAAAACAAGCACATAGGACGAAACTATATGATCAATATTTACTTCTAATTACATTAGCAAATATAGGAAAAGTAATATAAAGAACTGCCCATGAAGTTGCAAACAAGTGTATTGTAATGCTTCTCCTCTCGATCAATATTATTATCATTGTTGGACGGTCCTACTCTACGAATTATAGACGGTAGACACCCATCACATTTACATTATTTGTATATAATGTTAGCTATCCTCGGCCCTACTATCACTATTTAGCTAGCTATTTCCTTCTCACTGTAAACCTCATTTACTTAATGTTCTATTTGATATATAATATAATATCAGCACACTTGTGCTTTTTTCCTTCTAGTAGTTTCTTTACAAATTACAACTCTTGATACATATGTTATGTATATAAGATATTGAAAAGTAAAAAAAAAAGGTCTACACGATCATTGGACTAAGTTTTCTGTAACTTGGTCTCGTGCCAACGTTTATGAACTTATGTAAAGTATCGATTAATCTTCATAAACTCAAGCCGATATCTAATGCAAAAATAATATGTAATAATAACATAAGGTTTCTCTCTTAAGTTTTTAACTTTGAATTCTCTAGTGCATCTACCAATCTCTACTCTTGGGGAGAAAAAAAAAACAAAAGAAATGTTTATTTTTGGGGTAAAATTTTCACTTGACAATATTAAAACTTGGAAAACATCTACACCAATTATTTTTTACTAAAAAAAATATTTTTTTACTAAAAATTAATTTACTACACGATAGGGTTACTTGTAAGATGTGTTAGTTGTTATCAGATGTTACTTGATAGACAATAACCCACAAGTACCATAACTCTTTAACTTGTGTGTTTAATGGCTAAACAATGTTATAGAGGGACAACATTACTCTTAACAACCAACTAGATCATAACCCGCCCGACTGGGCGGGTCTTTGTTTTTATGGTATATATAACATTTCAAAATTACAATTTAATGGTGCCAATTTTACTAAGTAATAGTATATTGTTTAAATATTGTATTTCATTATTGTATTGTGTAACAGGGGCGTCTTAAAATATTGTGACCCGTAAATATTTTAGTAATATTTTATAAAGTTTTTTGACTAAATTTGGTGTAAAGTTATATACACTAAATAATTTAGTCAATTTTTTAATTTTTTTAATGAAGAATTGGAAGGCTAGTATATCACTGTTTAAAACTTATAAGAATAGTCAATATAAATTATATAAATAAAATATATATTATTCTTGATTTATTTTAAATACATTTAAAACATGAATACATATATGTATAAATAATTTTAGAAGTAAAATAATATCAATGATAGAAAATCCAAAAACAATAATAATTGTACCTTGGACCGCAATAATCTTTAGTATAATAATTAAGCCCATTAAATTTGTATGATATCCATGTTTCCAATCAAACTTTTAAAATTTTCTTATTCATGTTTCCAAACACTTTATTTTTGTACTTCAGCTTTAATAGTATAGATTGTTATTTTTGATAATAAATGGGTAAATATAAAATTTGATATAAACAAGAATTAGATTCGGATGAAAGGGATAACATTAGAGAGACGCATGTAGAAAGAAAAGGACGTTCAAGAGGTTAAACGATTCTTATCATACTTCACTTAAAAGGGTAATCATGCAACAACATTTTTTTTTTTTATGTTCTTTTAATTTCTTTGCCAGACTGTAAGAGAATATTTACGGTACAGAAAAATGTCATTTTATCTGCCTAACTACTTGAATCTATTCGATTCGTTTTTTACTAATTTTTGCATTAAATTAAAGTGGTATGGCTGAAGCCATATACAGTATAACCTCTTTAAATTAATAATCTATAAATTAATATCTCTATAAATTAATATAATTTCATAGTCCCAAATTGAATTTTTGGTTCAATTAATATTTGATAAATTAATAATCTCTATAAATTAATAAAAAATTTACTTTTGGTGTAGTCCCAGCATTATTAATTTATAGAGGTTTCACTGTAGTAGTTAAACAATTTGATAGCTAGCTATAATGGGATTACAACAATAAATGCAATCTATTCTATTCGCTGTTCATAATAACTTTAATAACCTTCATATGTTTTCAACTACATGTCTACTCCCTCCGTTCCATAATATAAGATGTTCTAGAGAAAATTGATGTTTCAAAATATAAGATGTTTTGATATTTTTAAGGTACTTTAACTTTATAGAAAACCGGTTGACCAATAGTATTTTAGTTTATTATTTATGATTGGTTAATTTATTTTAAATTTATATTATAAATGATGTTATCTTTTAAAAAGTTAAGTTTCTTAATTCTTGTGCTTTAGATAAAATATCCTATATTGTGGAACGGAGGGAGTACATCACAAGTAACTATTAAGTCTATAACTAATGCGTTAATGTTTTGTTTTATTTTATTTTCACTTCTGTTAATATCATTTACACACCATAATGCTTCAACTGAACCATTATGTTGTTTTGAAAGGTCGGATTCTGAGATTTTGCCCCAAAAAAAAGTGACAAAAATAGTTAAAACTAGATAAGGAGAAGGTGTGGCACGTGTCACACTCTATTTTCTTTAAAATAAATTGGTCTTTAAGTAATATCTTTATTTTATATGGATATATTACATTATGTGTCGCATGTTAAATATTTGTATATCCTTAGACCATCTACAACAGAGAGGTTGTAAACATGAGTTCTTAAACAAAAATAATGTAAAAAGGAAAAAATAGGCAGAAATACAGACTTTTGGAGCTGGTAAATATCCCTAACGTGGTAATTCGGTATTGGATAATCGTTTTAGGCAAAATTGGTCTCTTTTTTTTTCGAAAAATTGATTTGTTGATGTTACTCTCCCGAGACTCCTTCGCCTGATTCCTCCTCCATAGCTTCTTCCCTTTCCCGGTGATCTCCTCAGATTATGTGTTGCTACTGGTTCTCGACGATGACGCCGGCTATTAGAGGGGAGGAGCGAGACACAGCTCCGTGTCGCTGGTGGTTGGGTGAGCTCTCTATTTATTTGAAGCTGGTATAACACCTACGTTCATTCTGATTTGTAAACAAAGATACAAACAAATAACTATATAACAAAGTTGTTTTGATTTACTAGAAGGTTATCACATAAAAGAAACATGTGAGTAGTCCACACAGCTTTCCTTAGAACATATTCATTCTCCTCTTTTAGCCCTGTTTCAAACTTGAAACCATCCAAATCTAGATGGACGATCAGTGCCAAATTCATTAAACTATGGAATTAATACTCTTCGGCTAATGATCGTAAGATGGTTCTTATCGACCCAAACGAGAGTTTTGTGATGTGAAATGTTGACGAGATTACGTGTTTAATGTTATACAGAAAATATTAATGTATCTTCTGTTTGATTTCATAATTTGAAGTGACAAGATTCATGGTACAGTGACGAAAGATTGGGTTCATCAATTTGATCCCTTATTACAAGAAGAAATCACCAAATTTATGTATTCGAATTAAGACGTTTATATATTGCCGTGGCTTATGGTGGATAGTGTAATGATTTCAATATGTTTTAAAGAAAGTACTTATACATTCATCCACTAATTTAGGCATACTAATTTAGAAAATAATTGACTTATCTATCTGATTTCCAGAAGGGAAAGTTTATATGGGAATAAATATCTTACATTACAGCCCTATAAAATCATGTTCAAGATGTTCATCTATGAAATCAAGAAATTTCAGATTATGAAAGGAGAAACAAGTCGAACACAGAACCATTATATATTAATTGAAGAACCTAACTCGTTTTCTGATGTATTTTTTGATAATCTAATTAAGATTTTATTTCATTTAATATTTATCCAAATTTACATTTGATTTTTTTTATTACACTTTTGCTAGACCAACCTTAATGTAAGAGGAAATTTTATAGAACCGGGTAACAAACATATATTGTTAGATTATTCATTTAACAATGGTCCATTTCACTTATTTATGTCTCATTTAGTCCAATATATATGCAACAACAGTTGGAATATATATATATATTTAAATTTCTAAATCACTGTTATGTAATACAAAATTTACTTTATTCAAAATGTATATAACATAATCTTTTTATAAATTTCAAATAAAAATATCATCAATGCACAGGGTGTGGGTTATCACCTAGTTGTTTATATTAAAAAGAAAGCACCGTTGGATTTTATAATGGTCTGAAAGTGACGCTAACTGTAGAATGGAAAGAGCATCACACCATATGTAAAAATCAATATACGCAGATGATTTGTATCCATTTTTTTTCCTGAGATTTGTAGTTTGTTTTTAAATAATAATGATTTCCACGAAATATATGGTGAGAGTCGATTTAAGATAAATGACTTTGTCTTTTTGGCTCCATTCCTCGCGACAAGCTTCTCTTGACTCTTGTCTTTTCCCTCTCTCTTCTACCCATCTTCAAAAAATATATATCTCTCGTTTTTCTTGGATACATTCTTCTCTGTATATGTTCTTCGCATAATTCTATCTTTTGAGATAAAACCTGCATAGAAAGAATAATTACCTGATAATCAGCTTTTCATCTCAGTTACCTGATAATCAGCTTTTCTGGTGTATTCAAGAACCCCCTCAAAATCAGAACTTCTTTTTTACCCCAGAGATTTTCCAAGAAAAGTGGCCAAAAAGGTCACTTACAGGTCTTTTCCGTTTTTTTTTTCCTGAAACCACAGATCATAATCTTCTCAATAGCCTCTCTCCCTTCTTCGCGATTATGTTCTCTTGAATTTACCTTCAACAGATTTAAGAAGGATCGTTCACCAACCTGAGGATTCTTGTTTGTTTCTTTTCTTAAGGTACAATTATTGATTATCTTTAATCTTCAACCCTCTCTTTCAAATTTTAACTCATTCTATGGTCATTTTATATGTTGTCAGAGATTTTAAGGATAGATTCTATGCAAAAGTTGGAGATCTTGTAACTATAAGTCAAAAATGTGTAGGGTATTAGCTGTAGTAATTAACAAGTAGTTACTTTACCCACTAATTATGATATGTGATATGTTGATTCTTTGTGTTTCAAAAAAAAGATATGTTGATTCTTTATGTTATTACCTTTTAATTATTAATCCTTAGTATACACTCAATCCTCAACACTAGTTCTTTCAATTCACTAAAAGTTCAAAGGTTTTTTAATAACTTGCTTTACTTTCAAAACAAATGATAAAACTATAATCATCTAGCAGAGGAAGATAACCTTTCTGCACTGTAATGAGTACCTTTAAAGCTCACTTATTCAGTTTGTTTATGTTAAGTGCATAAGCAAGCTTTATATGTCCATTCACAAATCATTTTTTTGTTCTTCAACTTCATGTTTTTAGTATACCCAAACCCAATCAGCTGATAGTATTAGACGCAAGAAAAAAAAAAACAGTTTTTGCATATGAATAACTGGTTGTAGTATACCTGACGTATCTAATACAACTTCTAATTTTTTTTTTTTTTTTGATCAGAATACAACTTCTAATTTATTAATTAAAACTTGGTAAGAATCCCATGAACCCTCTTTTTGACAAAAAATCATTATTATGATTGGTTCATTTACTAAACTATTCATATATATATGTATTGGATCATGACCATCCACGTAGACGTTAGTATATTTCCTAAGATGATTAATCGTGATAGATTTAAAAATAAAATACAGTATTTGTGAAACTTTGTAGTGGTTGGTTTGTTGATTTCATATCGTTTCTTTTTTTAATGTAAGGGGGAGTGCGTCTTAGCCGTCGACCATGATGAAGACCCGAGCTTGAAAAATTGTCCTTTTTACCCTTGAATATCCCCGTAAATGACGAGAACACCTAACATCCGACGTGGCATCCTCGCCACCATAACCGCCACGATTCTCCTCTCATTCTTCCCGCCAAATACCGTTGCGACCGTTGAGAAACAAGCTCTGTTTCGCTTCAAGAACCGTCTCAAAGACCCTCACAACCTCCTCAGATCATGGAAACCCTCCGACTCTCCCTGCACGTATCACGGCGTCACGTGCCACCCACTCTCCGGCGAAGTCACCGGAATCTCTTTAGAGAACGCGAACCTCTCCGGCTCAATTTCTCCGGCGATCTCGTCTCTCACAAAACTCTCCACTTTATCTCTTCCCTTCAATCTCATCTCCGGGGGAATTCCGCCGGAGATACTCAAATGTAAAAACCTCAGAGTACTTAACCTCACAACCAACCGTCTCTCCGGAGAGATCCCTGACTTCTCCCATCTTACAAACCTACAAGTCCTCGACGTATCCGTGAATTTCCTAGCCGGCGAGTTTCAGAGCTGGATCGGGAACTTGACTCGGTTAGTCTCACTAGGCCTCGGCAACAATAACTACCAACAAGGCTTGCTTCCCAAGAGTCTCAGCAACTTAAAGAAGCTGACGTGGCTCTACTTAGCTAGATCCAACTTAACTGGAACCATACCAGACTCCATCTTCGAACTAAACTCTCTCGAGACTTTCGACATCGCCAGGAACTTGATCTCCGGTGAGTTCCCAGTCTCGATCACGAGACTGGTGAATCTCACCAAAATCGAGCTGTACGACAACAGACTCTCCGGTGAGATCCCACCGGAGATCAAGAACCTGACTCGTCTCCGAGAACTCGACGTCTCTCTGAATCAGCTACATGGTGCGTTACCTCGTGAACTCGGAACTCTCAAGGAGCTGAGAGTCTTCCACTGTCATCAGAACAACTTCACCGGCAACTTCCCTCCCGGTTTCGGAGAAATGCGTTTCCTCTCTTCGTTATCAATCTACAGAAACAACTTCTCCGGTAACTTTCCGGCGAACACCGGCCGGTTCTCGCCGTTGGATACGGTTGACATATCCGAGAACCGGTTCACAGGTCCGTTCCCGCGCTTCTTATGCGAAAACAATAAGTTAAAGTTCTTGCTCGCCTTAGAGAATGATTTCTCCGGCGAGATTCCGGGACCTTACGCCGGTTGCAAGTCTCTTTTGAGACTCAGGATTAACCAGAACCGGTTTACTGGTCACGTTCCCGAAGGTTTCTGGTCTCTGCCGTTAGCTAAGATGATTGATCTCAGCGATAACCGTCTCACCGGAGAGATCTCTCCTCAGATCGGACTTTCGACGGAGCTGAGTCAGCTGATCTTGCAGAACAATAGATTCTCCGGTAAGATTCCGGCGGAGGTGGGGAAGCTGAGGAATATAGAGAGGATTTATCTGAGCAACAACAGTTTTTCCGGGGAGATTCCGACGGAGCTTGGAGATTTGAAGCAGCTGTCTTCACTCCATCTTGAGAACAATTCATTAACAGGTTTTATACCCTTAGGGTTGATAAACTGCGTCAGGCTTGTTGATCTGAATCTTGCTACGAACTCATTAACCGGAGAGATCCCTAATGGTTTATCTCAGATCGGTTCTTTAAACTCGTTGGACCTCTCAGGGAACATGCTAACGGGGGAGATCCCGGTGAATCTAGTGAAGTTGAAGCTGAGTTTTATAGATTTGTCTGAGAATCAACTCTCCGGGAGAATACCACCGGATCTTTTGGCAGTGGGAGGAACCGTTGCCTTCTCACGGAACGAGAAGCTTTGTGTGGACAACCGTGACGTCAAAGCAAGCGAGAAACATGTTTTGAGTTTATGTAATGATGACCAACACGTGCACAAGAATCGATCACTAGACGGAACTCTCTTGTTCTTGGCTCTTGCAATAGCATTAGTAGTGCTAGTCACTGGTCTTTTCTCGTTGCGGTATAGAGTTGTGAAGATACGTGAGGAAAATAAAGATATCAAGAAAGCGGATGGGAAGTGGAAGATTGCGTCTTTTCATCAGATGGAGCTTGATGCTGAGGAGATTTGTAGATTGGAGGAAGGTCATGTGATAGGAGCTGGAAGTGCGGGTAAAGTGTACCGTGTTGATTTGAAAAAAGGTGGTGGGACAGTGGCGGTTAAGTGGTTGAGAAGAGGTGGAGAAGAAGAGAGCAATGAAACAGAGGTCTCTGTTTCAGAAATGGAGATTCTTGGGAAGATTAGACACAGAAACGTGTTGAAACTCTATGCTTGTTTGGTCGGAAGAGGCTCTAGCTATTTGGTGTTTGAGTTCATGGAGAATGGGAACTTGTATCAAGCTCTTCGTCGGAGTATTAAAGGTGGATTACCTGAATTAGATTGGCTCAAGAGGTACTGTTTGGTCTCAAATAGTTAAGTATGGATCCAAGACTATATATTAAACATATAAAACGTTTTGAATATGTTGGTCCCTTTTGTGAAAACAGGTATACAATCGCGGTAGGGGCGGCTAAAGGAATCGCTTATTTGCATCATGATTGTTGCCCTCCCATCATTCACAGAGATATAAAGTCTAGTAATATTTTACTTGATGGAGATTATGAGTCGAAAATCGCGGATTTTGGAGTTGCAAAAGTTGCTGACAAGGGATATGAATGGAGCTGTGTTGCTGGGACTCATGGCTATATGGCGCCTGGTGAGTTTTCTGAAGTTTCTACTTAACCATCACTTTGTTTTTTTTACTTTAAAGTGAGTTGTTGTCCAAAAAAAACTTTAAACTGAGTTATTTTATTTTATTACTTGTGGTTTTTATTTCGTGGTTATCATGTGATGACTATAGAGCTGGCTTACTCCTTCAAGGCAACTGAGAAGAGCGATGTGTACAGCTTTGGTGTGGTTCTTCTAGAGTTAGCAACCGGTCTTCTACCAGTGGAAGACGAGTTCGGTGAAGGCAAGGACATTGTGGACTACGTTTTCTATAAAATTCAACAAGATCGGAGGAACCTTGGAAACGTCTTGGACAAGAAGGTTGTGTCAAGTTACGTAGAAGATAGCATGATTAAGGTTCTGAAAATGGGTCTTCTTTGTACTACAAAGCTCCCTAGTCTCAGACCAAGTATGAGAGATGTTGTGAGAAAGCTTGAGGACGCTGATCCATGTGTCTCCAATTCTGTAGACAGAACCGGAAAGATTACAGTATAGGTTAATGAGTCGGGTTAAGTTGATTACCTCTTTTTGTGAGACTAGTCACAAAAGTGTCGGTTTATTCGAAACTACGAGAGACTAGTTCTTCTTATCTAGTAGTATTAAATTTGCAGCGAAAAGGTCGATAGTTATTTATCTAGTAAACATTAAAAAATGCTAAATAAATGCAAAGTTTGCTGTAACACATGGTTCTTGTCAAGCAATCTCAAAAATACAATGATATGATCCCGTTTTTCGCGTGAGAAAAATCAAGAATATCTAAGCAAGGCAATAGTCTCAGCTAGAGAATGGGCATCATCAGCTCAACCTCAGACATTCCTACCTCATGCAATGCTTCTGATGAGTCTTTCATCTTCAACTTTGATATGTAACACATACACGTAATAGCAACTCTAATTGGAGTTTCTCACCATAGATTCTCAGTCTAAATATTAGTTTATATATATAATAATTAGTTTCGTGTTTCAAAAAAGAATATATATACATATAATAATTAGTTTATTATTATGGGTATTTCACAATTATGAAATATTTTGGGTTGGGTTTTCTATAATTTTAAGCTATCCAACCTATTGATTTATAATATTAGTATTTTATAATATTTTGAGAATCTTTAATTAGACAATCCTAATAATGATGCTCTAAAAAGAGAATGCCTCAACTCTTTTTTCAAGTTTCTCAGAAAAAAATGTCTTCACAGTTTTTCCTCATGTTTTAATTTTCTTAACTATTTTAATCATAACAACCTTATTGAGAGACTACATGACAATGGGGCTGCCCTTACAGCTAGCTAAACTCTCATGATGTAACTATTATATGTACTACTACTATCTATGCATACATATCATATAATGTTCAAATAAGATCCATGTACTTCTGAATGGAACAAAGATCAATATTAGTCCACCATCAAATCATGGGGAAATCCATGGATTCATAATGGCATGTGATGTCTGATGAGGTTATTCATTTGAGCCCAAAAAATCACACTGTTGTACCCTATATATATATGGACATATAAAGCATCTAGTCATTCACCGACTGTTTTTACATTCTAACTAAGACAAATACTTAAACCACATGCTAATTGCAGCGAGCTATTTTAAAACTTATAGATAGAATACGAACATAACACATGATTCGAACAAGTACAGTCCTCGGGTTGGAATTTCAGGTAGCGGAGTTTCCGCTTAAAATCACATGCTAATTGCAGTGAGTTATTTTAAAATGTAGATTAGGATTCTATAATTCAAGATCTAAATACTCTATAAGATACTCGCAGAACACTTTTCTTCTTTTGATGTTTTTTCTTGTGTGAAATATTTATATTGTAAGTGTGAAACCAAGCTTTACAGATCATTTTACAGAGTGCGGTAATATATACCGTTAGAAAAAAGTAGAATGAAACTGATAAATCAATAAAAACTCATTTAATATATGCGTACCATAATCCAACAAAGATATGCCACGACATTGCGAATAATGTAAGAAGAGTTAAGACAAAATAATTACGTTTTTAAGAAGAGTTAGATAAAAATAAAGATGCTTAACTAATAAGGACATGAGAAATGTATAGGAGCGTGCATCTTACTGCATACGACAAAGGAAAACTTGCGACGTGTGTATTTGAGTATGTCCCCGAGTAAATTAAGAATTACAAAATCGCTGTTACAATGTAGTGCCCTAGATTATTCTGGGCTCAATCATAGTTTAATTCAAGTTGGATAGGAATCTGATAAAATTGCATGAATAGACGATGTTATTTACAGGAAATTACTACACCTCCCAAGAAAAACCTCTTCGGTTTTAGTAAAAAAAAGTGCTTAGATATTGACATATTGTATATAAATAATTAATATTACAAACCATCAGAAACCAAAAAACCGTATGGAATGTCTTGCTGGAAATTAGGGTCACTATCGAAATTTTAAATTTTCTTGAGCCGATAGAAAACGAATTAGATGTGAAGTATTCGTATTTATATATTCACGCTGTCGGGTTGAATCGACTAGTTTTTGTGTATATTAGTACTAGAAACGGGTGGGGAGTTTATATATGAACAAAACATTAGTAATGCAGTTTTAAATTTCATTACTATTCTTACAGAAATGCATGATTATATTACTAAAAAATAATGTATTTATGTGAAGGTATCATAGACTTGTATTTTTGAAATAAACGTGAGAAGACAGTAATCTTTGGAGATCACTATGGCAACTAATAACTTAACCGATTTGTTATGACAGAATAGATTGATTCATCGTGGATTTCATCAAGTGTAGTTTATAAAAGGTTGAGATCAAGCTTGACGGGAATCAAGAACATTGGAAATGGAACTGCTGCAGAAAGCTACTCAACTTTTTGATCAGAGAGAGAGAGAGAGAGAGCACTTTGGATTGGTTTATTGGGAAACGAGATAAGCTAATGTTTGAACCTATTATGAGAGAGAGACGAAGAGTATTGTGTGAGGCACTCACATGGCTCACTCTCTTATTTCAATTTACTTCTTTACCCCATCCCAATTTTTTTTCTTTACAGAAGCCAGATTTTGAATGAGAGTACAGCAGCACTAACAATTTTTTTAATAGTTAATGAAAGAATCATATAAATTGTGTGAATAAAATATAATCTGCGTGATATGTATTATATACAAAATTTTAACATGTCGTTTAATTGATCATCTTTCAGATCTTGACCCAGTTTAGTGATATATGAGACTACAATCCTGAAATAATTTTGTAATCCTGAAATAATTTTTCTTTCCAGTATACTTACTTGGATGGTTTTGAAATTATTGTATTCTTTTCTGTCCAGAAAATTTTAGATTAGAAATATATGTACACGGAGGAGACAAGAGAATCATAGCTAAAGATTTATTTTGAGATCCTTCGGATTCTTCTGATGAAATTATTTACTATTGTTCTCTATGACTTTCTGTTGGATCACATTTAAGTTGTTGTCCCTCTCGATTGGTTTAAGTGACCAACCAATTTTATTACATAGCAACCCTAATTAAGTTGTATCATAGCCATCCATTTATCACATCTTCTCTTCCGGATTAAAGTTCGATAATTATTAATGACTACAATGGTTAAATCAGACTAATGGAAAGATGACACACAGCTAGTTGATACTGTATAGAAATTAAGCTGGGCTATCATCTTCTTTAGTTTTTAGTTTTTACATATGTCAACGTCAATAATACTTTCTTTGAACGTGATATGATTACACTTGTAAAACAATTATAATCCCCACACGCCGAAATGTTACTCCTATTGTTATCCGTGTTTTTTTTTTTTTTATGATTAATTTTGACCGTGTAGGGAAATCAAGTGTGACTGAACACTCTTGCGATATCTGGATTCATATTCTTTATTTGAAAATTTTAGATGAACTGCTATGATCATCATTTTCAGAACATGCGAATACTTATGAATCAGGTAACTTTTATACTCCAAAATTATTTCGTATTTGAAGCAATTTAAAATAAATGCATGAAGCCGCCAGAAGTAGAGAGTAAGGTAACTTTCATCTGTTTTCATGATTTTCTCTTGATTTATATGCAAGTAGGTTGTTCTAAATGGGTAAATGATTTTACGGTTGATTATAGCTTCATCGGAATTTGTTGTTTTGCTAGTATTCTTGTTCTTAAAAACGTTTTAACAACCAAGTCGTTGGTGGTCCTGTGGTGTTTGATCCACCTTTTCTATACATATTAAGCTATACAGTTCTAGTTTGATTCACTTGGAGAAATGATTTTTGCTCTAAAATGATATTTATTTATCAATGGGTTCATTTCGGGCCTCTAAAATTTTCTTCTGTATAAACAAAATGTTCGAACCAAGCATTGGTGAATATATGTCATCTTTAATCGAATTTACATAATTTTTGTATGCGTTTTGAGATTAGCAGCGGATTTGGTATGTGAACACCGGTGTTTATATATGTTGTACAGTGTGAGACTATCGTTTACGCTATAAAGAATCTTCATAAGAAACAACATACTAGTTGCTTATACAAGCCACGTACCTATGCATGTATGATTACTCTCATATCATTTTAAATGTCCAAAACATAGCAACAATGTTTTGTTCTTGAAAAAGTAACCCTAAGATATTATGTGACTAGGCAACTTTTCATTATTGTTCTTATGTCATTTTTACTATGAAATTAATTTGGGAGAATTCAAATTTTATCATAAATTTGATATCATTTATTAAAAAAAGTTTATCTTTAAAAGATGACTATTTTTATAAATACCCTAAATTTATTATGGAAATGACTAAACTAACTATGTTCATTTAGTATTTATGAACCTGATAAAGGCAATAAGCTTTATGCATGATTATGTTCTTACGGTTATTCCCTTACGGGTACGTAGGGTTATATGATAAACGATATGATTTCATATAAAGAATAAATCAGCGGTCATCGTCTCCGCATGATTCGCGGAAAATAGCTACTCGTATAAATAAGCTAAGATTTCGAAGTTATAAAGCTTTGACGTCGGCTGATGCATAGAAACAAAAAAAACTTGGACGTCAAGCTCACAATATATCTGTCTGTCTATACGCATTACCACGCACTATAGAAGCAAAATATTAATTGAACACCTAAAAGGTGATATACTACCCAATAATTATAATATTCCCAAAAATTCCAGAACTATTTTACTGATTTTGCTTTCATTTATCTCTAAACTCAGGGATTAATTTTAGTTTTCATTTGAATATAGCGCGACTCACATGATATACGGCAAAAAACATTAATTCATAGCAACGTATAAAGTAGAGAGTCTTGACACTTCAACTTGTTATATCTCTCTCTCTTTGAACATGAGTGTAACAAGACGATCCCCAAAGCCTGCCAAAACACACAGAATCTTTTCTATGGGTTCGTGGACCGGTCTATAGTCTCACGTGCAAAACAAAACATACAACATCTCTCTGATCTCTATATATCTTCTACTCTTCATATAACTCAGTTGATTCGATTTTCTTTGGTAATTATTCTGTTATTACTATATATAAATCAGCTTTATACCCTCACAAGCTTCTTCTCTCTTCCATGGATCTAAACCACAATCTTGTTTGACCTTCTTGTTTTTTTTTCTCTTTCCTTTCTTCTTCAATCTTCTTCAATTCTGCTGAGTTTTTTAAGAGAATATTTTCTATTAATCCTTTTAATTATTATAGAGGTATCATTACGAGTTTAATTTCCCTAAAGTGTGTCTTTACCTTTTGACTTGTCTACCTCTCGAGACAAAAAGAGAAACACAAACACTTTCTGTCTTTTTTTCTCTCTCTCTCTCTCTTCGACCCTTTTCATAAATTTTTAGAGTATATTTTCAACTAATTTTGTAGCTAATTATGGCCTTAGAGGCTGTTGTTTACCCGCAAGATCCATTCTCCTACAGCTCCTGCAAAGATTTTCCGTCTCACGATTTATACTTTCAACAAGAAGAAGATCAAGATCCACTAGACATCAAGAATAACATCAAGCTAGGGCAAGAACAAAGACAAGGGTTTGCGAGTATTAACTACAGCGGAGATAACAATGATGATTATAGTTACAACGACCATGCGGATCTTCAGTGGCCACCAAACGAGCTTCCTTATGGATCTGTCGTCGACACCAAGAACCATCCTCCGCCCTCGGATGTGGCCACTGGAGGAGAGAGGAGGAAGAGGAGGAGAACTAGGAGTAGCAAGAACAAGGAAGAGATTGAGAACCAGAGGATGACTCACATCGCCGTCGAGAGAAATCGCCGGAAACAAATGAACGAGTATCTAGCCGTTCTCCGTTCTCTCATGCCACCTTCTTATGCTCAAAGGGTTAGTCTCTACATACAATAACTATATATGTATATATTAGCGCGTGAAACTTTTTCTTAGTGCGTGAAAGTAAAGAAACGATAAGAAAGAAAAAGCCAAAGCCTATGTTTCTAGACTTCTAGTTTCATGAGGACATACTTAGACCATATGCATGTATATGTGTATATGTTTAAACATAAGTTTTTTTTTCTTGAAAGTAAACATAAGTTTGATAGAAATAAATTGATGGATGAATGAATGAATGAAAGCCGTTATATTGAGACAATAATGGATACAAAGAATGTCGTTATTGTTTTTCATAATATAATGTCATCTCTATAGATGAAAATTTCGGTAGTGGAATTGTGGGAGCATAAATAAAGTCTTGAACATCATTGCACTAGAAAAGCACTATAGATACTATATATGCATGGTAAAATTCTCACAAAATATTAAAATAAGGTGCCAAAAAGGAGTATAAATTTTCGATTGTTTTTGAAAATACATTTTGCAATTTCTATGAGCTTTAACATATGGTTGGTGGTGGTTAAAGGGAGATCAAGCGTCAATAGTAGGCGGAGCCATTAACTACTTAAAGGAGCTTGAGCAACAATTACAATCAATGGAGCCTCCCGTAAAGACCACCGCCAAAGAAGACGCCGGAGCCACCGCAGGAGACCAGAAAAACACAATCGCCACCAGCTCATCCGAACCATTCTCAGATTTCTTTGCGTTCCCTCAATACTCAAGCCGGCCTTCTTCGTCGTCTGTGGCTGAGGGGACGGCGGAGATAGAGGTTACGATGGTGGAGAGCCATGCAAGTGTGAAGATACTTGCTAAGAAGAGACCTAAACAGCTTCTTAAACTGGTGGCATCGATACAGAGCCTAAGGCTCACACTTCTTCATCTCAATGTCACCACTCATGACAACTCCGTCCTCTATTCCATCAGCCTAAAGGTACATTTTTCTCACTTCTTGGTTTTTTTTTTTGTTTTCTTAATAGCTTCATAACGAAATACATAATTAGGGTGACATATAATACCGTATATAGGGTTTTATATTGTGTTGCAAAACCAAATTAAAGTGGTTTAGTGGATTATTGGATAAGTATTAAGTAATATAATCACTGTTCTGATGGCTAGTTTTGGGTCAATGAATCGTAGATTCTCTTCCCATCACAGATGTTTCATTAATTTGTGTCTTTTTGTCGAACATTTAATTAATTTGTCCCTCACTCGTACGTCTTGAGATTTTAATGTCTGGGTCAGAATGGTTTTGTAGAACAATAATGAAAATCGTTCGTTTTTTTTTTACTTGGTTCGTGCCGCCTCAATTATTGAGGGGTCAAAATCATCATTTCTTGTTTATATATAAAAAAAACAAAAAACAAAATATGAGTGTCAAAATAATGACTCGTAAGAATCAGGGACCAAAAAGATGACATATACCTATGCATGTGTGTATGTGTGTTAGATATGTGTACTGTGGAAGTTTTGGTGGTCACAGAACTGTGGATGCACTGTGCACTGCAGAAACGAAATGACGCCACTTGTTTCAGTACATATTCATAAGTTCTTCCTCGAAATATATACATTTTCTTTTATTTTTGTTCACTCTACTTTTTCTTACTGTATCAACCTTTTTTGTATTTTTAAGTTTTCTATGATTTTTAACTAGAAAAATGGATTGATTCAGGTTGAAGAAGGGAGCCAGTTGAATACAGTGGAAGATATTGCAGCAGCTGTGAATCAAATCCTTATGAGGATTGAAGAAGAGTCACCCTTTAGCTGATATAGTTGAATTTTAGTTATGACACTATTAGAGGAACTCAAAATTTTCACGTGTGATAATTTACTCTCTTTCTTATATTAAAATAAAAATTATATTTAACTTTTTATGGGTCTTTTTGTGTGTTTCTACTTTTGAAATGTGATGATGTTTCATGCGTCCTTTGCTTTTATAATCCCTTTTTAGCCGCCCATCATTCAAATTTAGCATTTTCTCTCCGAGAAATTCATGGTAATTAAGCTCGTGTAATTGTAATGGTACGATGGTAAGCCACTGATCGAAATTCCATTTCGAGAGCACCGCAAAATTAGATCTTAAATAGTTTGTTTGCCTACACTATGGCCTATGTGTATCTAAATAGTATGATAACATATTAGTGGACCAAAAACAAAAACCTTTTGATGTGTTCATTTTAGAAACATAATTTTCTTGATTTTACCAAAAAAACAAATTCAAGTTTCTTGAGCAAATTAGGTTTATAAATTTTGCCCTTTTGGATTTTTCTTAGAATATTCTCCTTACATAAACACAAGCTGAATAGGCTTTTTAATTTTAATTTCTCACCGACAATGATGCTTTGTAAGAAAAGTGGTTTATTTTTTGTGGAGGAAAATCAAGAATGAATATGCTCATTTACTCCAGTGATTTCAAGTTTTTTTTTCATAACCATCTTAAGTTCTTAATTGTATAGTACTAAACAAATGGTTTGCAATCCGGCTGTAACAAAAGGTACGGGAAAATAATTAAGTCACGAAGAAAATAATTAAAACGTTTACATATATATACCGATCGAATCAAGCTACACTGCCCGCAAGAATATGAATACATAGCCTCTTTTACAAAAAAAAATAAAAAATAAAAAGCTATTTGATGATCTCCACACTAGGCTCCTTTAGCCATTCCTCTCTTTTGGATTGATGTACGTAAAATTGATTATTACATATAAATATCCTTAATTAGATGATAAGTTTTTTTGACAAATTAATTAGATGAGAAGTTAATTTTTGTTTCTTATATATTGATAATGATTTTGTTTAAAATAGATAGTTTCAAGTGTTATACATTTTCATCCTTAAAATGATTGGACGCTTTTGTAAACAAGAAAATAGTTATTGTTTGCTTGAAAATATTTTTTTAAACGTCAAATGCATAGAACTAACAGTACGTGGGAATCATGGAACAAGACTATGATGATTGTCGTATCATGAAGACCTATCAAAGATCTTTAAGAATCTATGTTTTTCACTTTCGGAGTTAAAAACCAAAAGCCCGAAAAAGTTAAAAGGTAAAACCTACTGATGTGATTACACAAAATAAACCATTAAACTGACTGTTCTATTATATAGCTAACTGTTCTATTTTAGCATCTTTTTCATGATTGGGATTTTGAATCACCAACTTTTTCCTTAACTTTCCCATGAGTAAATATATGTTTGGATGTGATTGAAATGATATATTTCCGCACCCTTGATTAAAATGATCTAAATGAAAGTAGACTTTCAGATTAAACTGAAAGACAAATCTCAAACCATAATAGTTTCTTACACATAGGAGTAACAGGCTTTAGTCCCACCGATAAAGGACGGCTTCTGATATACCCATTATCCGATTGGGTTAAAGTAAGCATAGTGTTAGGCCATTTGTGGAATTGGGCTCTTTATGCATATAAAGTCGGGATCCTTTACACTGCAAAGCGATATAATTTTATATTTCAAAATAAAATAAATACCGATTTAGCTAAACGTAAAATTAAAAATAAAATAAATTTATTTATTTATTTTGATTATAATATATATATATAATTAAAATCCTAGATAAATTGTATAAAATTTTGATTTTTTATTTAGTAACTTTAAATTATACTTAAACAATATTTCAAATTTTTAAAAATATTTTATATGACTTAATGTTGTATATGCATATTTTTATTTTAATGATTATGTATGAGTTATTATCATATTTTAAAATATTTATCAAAAATAAAAATCGTCACTAAATATAATTATCATATCATATTTAATCAAATGTCATGTCATCAATTTTATAAAATTATATTATTTTTGGTGAAATTGATTAAAATAACATGTGTCAAATCACTTGGTAAATAATGTCTAGAGGATTATTAATTAAAGTGGTTCCTCTTAGGTTCTTTTGAATATTTAATGAGATAAATATGATATTTCTTGTTATTGATATTTTTAAAGAAAAAAAAACAAGTTAGATAAATTTTAATTTACATACAATATTAATCTTTTCTTAATTATATTATACACGCTATTTTATTATTAACTGAAATGTAGTTATATTAGTAATAAATTTATTACTAAAAATGAAATAATTTATTAATTTCTATGCAGACATCTTAAATATCATATGTTGTGACACATAAGGAAGATTATTTACCTATATATATATTTTCTATGTGAAGTATATATTAATATTTTCTACACTCGTGTTAGATAGGCAGATTAGCATTGCAAAAATCATATTATATCGATGTTAAAATTCAATAATGCTGAGTATATAGAAAACAATAAACAGAAGCAAACACTTCGGAAGAAACAGAAAATGTATACACAACTTAGTGTCGTTTCTATTTGGAGTGTTACATGTACATTACACTCAACATTTCTGCTTGTAATCTCCTCCTTTTTTATACCTTCGAAAAAATGGCTTAGTTGTAGTAGAAGGAAGACTTCTTACATATGAAAAACAGAACTCTTGTTTGTACTAAAGCATGATGACATCGAAGAGCTAGATTCTCCGGGGAAATCTATACTTTCCCCGTGAGGTTTTGCACACGAGTGAGAATCAATCGTACGCTCCTCCAAAACCCTAACTTGCTCATCCGTCTCTGTTTTGGATCCATCGCCAGTGTTGCGTTCTTGATCTTCACCAATTCCATCGTTCTCCAAACAAGATCCTGATCCTCCGGGCGTTACATCGACCTGTCCACTGCACCGTGGACTAATCGCTATACCAGCTCGACACAGAGGACAGTTTGTGTGTGACCTAAGCCAAGTGTCAATACAAGAGATGTGAAAAGCGTGGTTACATTTAGGCAACAACCTAAGCTTCTCGTCTTCTTCAAACTCGTTTAGACAAACAGGACAGTCTGTTCTCTCGATCAACACATCTCCTCTCTTGTAACTACAGATAGTAATCGAGTTAATGATAGATTGTTGTAGACCTGTCGTTCTGATTAACCATATTGGATTATCCACTTCTTGAAACTCTTCATTTACCGTGTCGTCACCAAGATCTCTCTCGGTTTGGTGTCTTTCGCGGTGGGCTCGGTTCACGCTCTCTGTGACGTATTTAGCTACAAGAAAGAAGCCGGTGAGAAGGATGGCTAAAGCCGCACCTGTAATGGTGATGATTGTTATGGCGTCTATGGAAGATGAACGGTCTTGAGATGGTTGATAGATTGATGGAGAGGGAGATAAGGTGTATTGGTAGGGTTCTTGATAGCAATTGTAAGGGCAAATAGGGTCGCAGATTCCTTGTGAACAATCTAATGTCTTGTTGTTCTCTGATGCTAATATAGAGAAGAGCTTTCTATGTCTCTTCTTAGCCATTAAAGAACACTTGGGAGAAAGGGTACAGGTGTTTCAAAAAAAAAGAGAAAGGGTACTGGTTGCTTGAGTCACAAGGAATTGAGATCAGGAGAATTTTGTCAGGGAAAATGTTTAATTCAATTATAATGTGAAGGAATAGTTGAGTTTATCTTTGGGTATCTTACATATTCAACAGAAAGAAAGATGAAAATTTCTTCTCGATCTTCAGTACTGACTTGTTCTTGTGCCAAATTAAAGCATCTTCTAATTGTTTAATTGGTGGAGAGTCTTAGTCATGGATGCCATATTTTACTCTTTGGCTTTCGCAAATTTAATTAAAGTTTATGCTTTTGTTGGCCTTTGGCAGATTATTAATATACAAATGTAATTTAGTAATATTTTGCTTTATATAAATGTTACATCTGATTTCTTTTTCTTCAATATCATAGATTAGTAGTGACACAACATGATGTATACAGCAGGTAACACAAACTAGATATGATTTGAATGAGCCTTGGAATTTTTTTTTCTGTTACAAAATATTGAGAATGGGTTGTACACTACTAGTGTCGTTGCTTTATTAATGCGAATTTAGGTCTGAAAACATACATGCGTGAGTTGTAGATTATCATTTTGGCCTTTCAAATTGCAACATGGGTCCATTTTAGAAAAGATATTAGAAACAAAACTAGATGTTTTATTATGACTTGGCTTGCTGTCAATTTTTTTTTTCTTAGAAATGTGGAGATCTTGAAGATTTTCTAGACCCAAATACTAATCCCACGAAATCTCTAAGTTTTTTTTTAGTTAAGACGTTCATGAGTAGGCAATACTATTCAAACTCAGTATAGAAACTCCAATTGAAACCCTTTTATCATTAGGCCAATGTGACTTGGCTACTTGCTGTCAGTATTAACAACTTGGTTGACGAAAATACACTTCATACTTCCCTCTCAGCCTCCTCTATGTAATTAAAATTCTTCTCTTTATACTTCCCTTACATGGGTCTAAACTAAATCATTCTCGCAGCTTAAACAGGCCTATAATCTACAACTAACTGCTGTCAGAAAAAGAAAAGATAAAGAGGCCTATATGTATATGATCTGCTAAAAAAGATTGTGTGTTCTGCCAAAAGCCGAAGAAAAATCATGAATCATGGTATGGTTGATATATTTCTTTTATGTGGGCAGTCTGATGACCAGCTGAACTTGTTGCAGGGTCTCTATCATATCACATCCATGCTTTGTCTTGCACCTTTCTGGTGAGAAAAGTATATTTTTTCAAACAAACTACCACCTTTTTAGTAACTTAGATTTTAATTTAGTATGACTGAAGCATTAGTATACGTTTTTCAAGATATGTACATATTTTGCATAGAACTGATATGTTGAAAGGAGAAACATCCTGCTTAGATATTAGTTACATAATGTTATGATCAGCTATAGTAGAGCAAGCATTCTAGATACATCAAGGTAATATAATTACGTATCCACTTCCATTTTGTTAGTGTTAAGAAATTAATTCAAGTAATATAGTAGACCCAAAAATATTAAAGTAATACAATTACGTCACATACTCGATTTCAGTTGTTGGAAAGCCTCAGTGATTGCTCGTAAGAAAAGTTAGTTCATCTTCTTTTGGCTTGGTCAATCGTATTAAATCATTAAGGGAATTTGACACAGTGTGACTATTTTGGTTTGCATCATCATTATCTTCTTACAAAAGACCCTTTTGAGTGTTTATGATCTGTCACCAAACCCCATGACCCCATATCTTGAGCACCCTTGTTGAGTATGTTTAAAGCTAGATAAGAGGAGGAACAAGTCTTTATCCCAAAATATGAAAAAGATGTCAAAACTGGAATGATGAAAACATTAGTTGGAGGGAAAGTGGACCCCACTCTCTACTAACTCTAACATACTCGTTTAGCTTCATTTTCTCTATAAATTCTCACAAGGATTTTATTAAGTCCCATCATTCATTTCAATTAAAATATACTATTACACTCATATATACAGAGATGGCAAACTTGAGTACACTTGTTAGTTGCATTGCCATCATCTTCTTCATTGATGTCACACCTGCCTCCTCCGCCACTCATTCTGTAGAATGGTCTCTCGGAAATGACTATAGCTCCTTGGCTACTGGAAAACCATATGCTGTTGGCGATACTATCGGTATATATAGCTCTTATGCATATAATGTGCTAATTTGCATTTACATCTTAATTTTTCACACTAAGAGGATAAAACATATTTTTGTTTCTTAATATAATACATTTCAGCGAAATAATAGTCTTTTAATGAAATATAAAAATTGTGTTACATTTGGAAAATTTAACCTTTTCAAACGAAAACAAAAATAACAATGGCGATCATATATATTCAAAGCTGAATATTAAATTTAAGGGGATATAAACGTTTTTAGATTAATTAATTTAATAAAAAGAAAATTGGACAATTTGAGGATCATGTGAATGTTTCATTCGGTTATGTCGAGCACTGGCCCTGAATATATTATGCATAGTTGTGATATGTATGTGTACATTGTGTTGCATATAGTTTTCAATTACGGTGCGGGTCACACGGTGGACGAAGTGAGTGAAAGTGACTACAAAAGTTGCACATTGGGGAACTCAATTTCTTCGGACAGTAGCGGAACCACAAGCATAGCTCTCAAGACATCTGGTTCCCACTACTTCATTTGCGCTATCCTCGGCCACTGCACTGGCGGCATGAAGCTCTCTGTCAACGTAGGTGCAGCAGCCTCTTCCGGCGGTGGTGGGGATGGGGCCACCGCCAAAACTACACCACCGCCAACCTTAGAAGGTGGAAAGGCTGCTCCTACTGCATCTGCCACTGATGTGTTGAAGCCATTCGAGGTTTTGGTTGTGACTAGTGTAGTTGCGTTATTATATGCTTTGGCTCTTTCTTAGTTGCCTTTTAAAAGTATTGGTGTGGTCGAAGTCAAAATACATGTTAGCATGAGGTTACCTTTCATATTAGCCAACACAGTCTTTCCATTCGACAAACCCATCATACACGGCGAGACTGGATGTATATTCGTCAAGGTGTTTTGTCATATGGTGTGACGCACACTATCAATTATTTAGTCATATGCACGATTCACATCAGTGACATAATTTATCAATTCTGATCGACCTTCTAACATTAGCACAAGTTTTTCCCATTGACCTTTTATAAGCCATGTTAAAGCTTCTTGATCAATCTGAGATACTTCTGTGTGTGTCACACGTTCAACCTGTGTAACACAAACTATTCTAGAATCTTCACTAAAGGGATAACTACAAAGAAGTTTCCTATTCCTATTGTAACTTAGATTTATCCTTATCATATCCTTGTAATAGTTATCTTTGGATTCGATAGGTTGTATATATACGGAACGTATGTTATGAATAAAGTCAAGCTTTCACATAATATTTCATTCACCCTTGCACCCATGAACCACCTTTGATCCATGACTCACCTTCGATTTATTATCTCTTCTACACTTTTCCAGCCACCAATCGGAATTTTCATACTTCTGATAGTATGATTTAACATTGTGTCCATATTTAGAGAAATAGGAACACAATCTACCACTACCTGTAAATCTCACCTCCTTCAGATCAATCATTGTTCGTCACAAACATAATAAAATATCAATGCATAAGCTTTCATTTTTAATCCCTAACTGTTCCGTGAATAATAGATGCGTGAATAGTGTTCCCATGAACAGTAGCACGATGAACGATAATCACATAAACAGTGCGCCATGAATAGTAATCGCGATGAACAATAATCACGATGAACAATATCGATTTCTAACCTTTGTCATAATACCATAAAAGATTTGGAAAAATATTTTTTTTTTTCAAAAGTCTACCAACCTTCTTTATAAGCATATATATATGAAAATCTTAAACTATGCATACCCAAGAATAAAAAATAATATAATTTATATACATTTCCTAATATATACCTTTCGGAAAAAAATGGCTTAGTAGTAGAAGACTTCCTACAGCGAAAAATTGTACTCTTGTTCGTATTGAAGCATGATGACATCGAAGAGACAAAGCGCTTCCGGTTGTCTTCGAGGAAATGTCTGACTGAATTTTCATTATCTTTTCCGTTTCTTCACTACCAGAATTAACATTTCTCAGTGATTCAACTTGGTTCCATTGTTTTCTTCGGAGCAGCTTGCTTCATCTCCGATGGCTCTGTTCTCTTGTCTGGTAGAGTTCTGACTCTCATCCTCGCTTGGTTCTCCCCGAAAATATATACATTTCTCGTGGGTTTTGCACACGAAAGAGAATCAATACATTCCTCCAAAACCCTTTCCTGATCATTCATTCCTCTCTATTTTTTTTTATAAATCTAAGATAAAAATAAATTACAGATAATTATGACATTTAAGTAACTTATCAAATGATCCGTTTAGTAATTGAATAGAAAATACTATTTCCATAAATAAAAACTTTACAACTACATATTTTCAGCTTTCTCAGTAAAAGATAAATTACGAAACATGACCAATATTATCGTAACCCTAAATGTTTGCGTCCTTTAGTTAAGGTCAAACAAGGATTATGTGTTATTGATGAAAAGAAGATACTGTATTATGTGAGGATGATAAGGAAATTTAATAATGTTAAGTTAAAGACTTTTAAAAATTATCGATATGGTAAGAAGTTAAAGCTTTGAAAACTTTTCACTTTAATAATTTCCCTCATAAAATTAGTAACACGAGGAGAATCTATGAAAACACGAGGTTGGAAATGATTTTTATATACTACACGCATAATACCTCTCCTCTTTAATTTAATCTTCCTATCCCTATCTTCTAAAGACTAGCGCTCTTAACACAAGAATTTGTAAAAACTAGCACAAAGTTTTGACCAGACCAGAGTGCTCGATCTCGAACCAAATAAGATTGAAACTAAGAGGGGCTTTAAGTTATTCTTTTTTTTCATACGTATAAATCAAAAACTTAAAAAACCTGAACTATTGTGAACATTCATAATCTTATTCGTCAACCATCAGTCCAGGACCAGGCAAAAACTCTATCTTCCCATAATAAATAAATAAACAAACTAACTAAAAATAACAATTAAAAATAATAATAATCTATCTTATTAAAGTTGTAGTACTCTTTAGGTTTGTTTGGAAACTTAAATAGTAGTAATAAAGAGTTTAATGTTGTTTGGCTATAAGTTTAAAGAAGTTGGGCTTTTAAACATTGTTATAATAGAATTGGGCTTTTGTTTAATTTATTTTATGTTATGGTTGGCTTTAATCATTTGGCCCATTGTAGTAATTTGTGTTTTTAGTTTATATTTTATATAAAGACCATATTCAATTTTATTTATTGTTGACTAAATTAAAAATAACATCAGTTTTTAAGATAATAACAATTTACATTTCAAATAATTTAATACTCAAATATATTTTATCTAAAGTATTTTACATTATTCAAATTACCATAAAGACACAAAATATTTGAATAGTTTTAACTAAAATATTAAAATTTTGTTTTCGTAACTGGATATTTATCCGAAACACCTATCCCCCCCCCCAAAATCAGTTTTACCCCGATTAATCTAAAATTAATCCTAGAAATCGTAACCAAACCGTTATCATATTGGAACCAAAAATTTATCTGATATTAGTCGGTTGTTATAATTATTACCAAACTCAGCTCAAACCAAAAGAATCGAACCGGACGCAAATCAATTTATATAGATAACATAACAGATCTTATATCTGTAGAATTAAAAAACCTACGAATATAAAGAATCCAACAAAAGTTGAACCCAAAATCAAACCACAGTCCTATTACATTCAATACGATCATAGTTTTTGAAATACGATAATAACCGATGACTTATGAATATATTATGCTTTTCCAAATTAAGTTAAACCCGCGCACCGGCGCGGGTCAAGATCTAGTAACAATTAAAGAAGTTGCCCCGAAAGACTTCTAGAGGGTGGTAGAGGCGATGTTCTGTTTACGAGATTTACATATGTAGTATAGATAAGTTATTTAGATTTGGTGGACATTATTCCTAACGCAGTTGACTGACGAACTTTTGCTTCCAGATGGTTTTTTGGGGTTCAACATGTTTCATATCCCCGAGTTCAAAAGTATGCATACAGATTTTCTTGTCAAGGAGAGACGATAGTGATGTTTTTCTCCATGTAGATTAAACTCGAACAGAGCATGTGTCTTTTCAGAACTTAATCTTGACGACCACATGATTTTATAAAATGGGTGTCAATAGAAAAGGAAAAAAAAAGGAAGCTGCATGGAAAGTGAAGTAAAAATATAAGAATCTTCTCAAATCTTAATGTATTTTTAAAATTTCAAAGTTTATAATTCAAAGGGGAAAAAACTAGTTTAACCATTAATTATCAATTAATTACTAGTTTAACTCTAATTTTATTTTAATTATTAATTTGTTTTTCATATTTAATTTAACATTATTTTCTTTGTTAACGTAAATATTAATTACGAAAATATCATTACTAAATTTTTGGAATATTTGCGATTTTACCATCAATAGACTTATCCCAACTAAGATGCAACGATGGGAGAGAGTTAAGCTACTAATTATCTAATAAATAAGAATTAGTCTAGATAAATTTCTCTAATTCAAAACCAAAGAGTAGCGTGTTCAAAGTTGTCTATGCATAAATACCGATCACATAAGCACAGATTTCTCTATCCAAATTCACATGCCGATCACATGAACCTAACAATTAATAATTAAGAAATATGTATCTTCTCAAATCTCAATGTGCTAGCTTGATTTTAAAAAAGTTAATAATTAAAGTGATGTAAACAAAGATGTATACATCCGCGTGTATATAAATACCGACCACATGAACTCAAAATTTTCTCCATCCAGTAACATTCAAATCCAATCAATAACATAAACTCAAAAAGGATGAATCATATGTTTTACTTCTTTCTTGCCTTAGCCGCTGTTACGGCCGCGACCGCAGATACGTACAAACCAGTTTTTGCAATGGATGGTTATCCCATGCTCGACGGCCTTAATTACTACGTTCTCCCCCTCTTCAACGGCCCTATATCCGCAGGTGGTCTGACTCTCGCCCCCCGTGGTGACAACCAGTGTCCCCTCTATATCGGGCAGGTATATTCAAGTGAATGGGGTATTCCCGTAAAATTCTCAAACTGGGGATTTGATGGGTTCGTTCCCCAATCAGCGAACCTCAACATCGAGCTGATCGTCGAAGCTACAACCTGCGTTCAGTCAACCTATTGGTGGGTTACTGACGTAGACAGTAAGACGTCGTTAATAGCTGCTGGTCCTAAGCCAGAACATGGAGAAGATTCCTCCAAGAGTTTCTTCCAGATCAAACTAGCTTCTGAAGAGTTTCCTCAGGCTTACAAGTTTGTGTTTTGTCCTAATGATAGTGATTGCATCGATGTTGGGGTACTTCAGGACGAGTATGGTCTTCGACGTTTGGCTCTAAGCTCTTCGCCATACCCGTTTGTGTTCAAGGAAGCTAGAGAGTCAGCAACTTCGTCTTCCACAACTATCTGAGAGAAATTAAAGATTACACAATATCAAGATGATAAGAGTTTTTTAACCTACGAGTAATAATAAAACTCTGTGTGTTCACCGTTTTCCTTTTTCTTCAATCATCATAATAAAATATCTTTCTTTTTTTTTCTTCTTTTAATTCTCTATCTATTTAAGTTTCACATAACTTGGAATTTAAGTAGAAGCTTTTTTTATTCTTTTAAATCGATGATCTAACTAACACCACTGCACCATACAACTTATCCAGACGATTGGTTCATGCATAGGTCGAGTGAAAATGCTGAAACGATTAGAAAATTAAACTACACTCCATCATGTTAAACACAAAATACACTGTTTTACAAAATTATAAATTATAGTTCCGATGAAAGTTGGATTTGTAGTTAGTAATACATATTCTATGTAGAGTTGTTGTAGACGAACAAAAGAAATGACCAACTATCCACCTAAGTCCTAATTGATTTCTCATTTTTAAATCACACGAGTAGCGAGCCGATAATAAATTATAGACTGTCTACATTAAGCATACGCGTTGGTATTGCTATAATTTATCTGCATCTCCAAAATATTTAATCACGTTGCAAGATCCAAAACCCTTAAATAAGTTAAATAAAACTTTATCTGTAAAGAATAACTGACATTGCATATGCCTATAAATATAAATTTACCCAAATAAAACATCTAAACACGCAATTACAAAACAAAAACAGAAAAACTAAACATGCCATGTGCGGATTACAACAAGTATTGCTATTAATAAATTTGTTTAGAGCGCACTCAGTTAAAGCTGGGATCCGTCCCATTTGACCTGCTGTGAGACAGCCTGTGAAACAAATTTAAAAATCATATTTTAAAAAAATAAAAAGAAAATCATATTAAAAATTATAATCCTTTTGAAACTTCTCTAATTATTTTTTAAGAAACAATTTTTCTTTTAAATGTTTTATAAAATTCTTCTTAAAATATTTTAAATTTAAGTTATATGTTTATTTAATTAATCATAATATATTTCATAAATTATAAACTCAACTAACACCTGCAATTCAAATATTTTAAATCGGTCTATCCATACATGTATGTGTACATTGTGTTGCATATAGTGTTCAACTACGGTGCGGGTCACACGGTAGACGAAGTGAGTGAAAGTGACTACAAAAGTTGCACATTGGGGAACTCAATTTCTTCCGACAGTAGCGGAATCACAAGCATGAAGCATAGCTCTCAAGACAGCTGGTTCTCACTACTTCATTTGCGCTATCCCCGGCCACTGCACTGGCGGCATGAAGCTCTCTGTCAACGTAGGTGCAGCAGCCTCCTCCGGCGGTGGTGGGGACGGGGTCACCGCCAAAACTACACCTTCTTCGACCTTAGAAGGTGGAAAGGCTGCTCCTACTGCATCTGCCATTGATGTGTTGAAGCCGTTCGAGGCTTTGGTTGTGATTAGTGTAGTTGCGTTATTGTATGCTTTGGCTCTGTCTTAGTTGCCTTTAAGTGTATTGGTATGGTTTGAAAGTCAGGCTAGAGGCAGTCCTATTAGCCCTACTATTATTATATGCTTCTTGTTGTGATTTAATTATTCTAATGTTATAAATTACATGTGCTTGTGAGGTGGCCGAATATATTTCCGGTTACGCAGTTGAAGGCAGTGAACTGATACCGGAGAGTCGGAGACATCGCCTGAGATAGTATTTGCTCATAATGGGCTTACAGGTAGTTAATGGGCTTTCACAATTACCGGAAAGTCCAAACTTTAAAATAAAAATCAATTCCCAAAGTGCAGCTTCTTTTTGCGGCCCATAGTATTATCATATAATCTCTAATCATGAAATTAATCTCCACAGTTCCACTAATATCTCAGATTTTCGTCTATTGTATGCTTTATAATACAAGAAATTACTTTAAGTCTTTTCTATGAAATAAATAATTTTATGTGACAAAGTGTGAACCTTTGAATCTAATAATATCATAGTAGTGTGAATGCATAAGAGTTTGAACTTTTGATCACGAACGATTGACTGAACTCTGAAGATTGACATGTGCCACGAGCAAATGACACATGGTCTCGCCACCGTGAACGAGATGGCCAGATGGGCATTGACTTCGGAGCACATTTGAGCTATAAAGGCCCAATAAATCAGCCCACCGACTTACCTACTTAGATGGACCTACCGGTTGCTTCAATGCATCAAAGCCGTCCATCTTAAGAAAATACACTCTAACCACTCCTGATCTGATTCTCATAACTAAACCAAACACAGCAATGGAACAGAAAGTTTGGTCAGAATTAATAATGTCTGCATCTACTCACCCAGTTACCAACTTTTTTCATTCACATATGCAAACAAAATCTATAGTTATTTTAGCTATTAATAAACTCGAACCATTTGATGGTGACTAGTAAACAAATTTGAATTGAAATTTTTTTTATTAATGTGGTTACTATTGTATCACTGGTAAACACAAATAAATAGTCCTTGACCAAAAAGCCAAAAAAATTAAGACGGAAAAATCAATTACAAATTAAAATGTGGGGCCATCCTACTTTGATCTCCAAAACATTTCTTTCTTTAGTCTTTCTTTTTAATCAACAAAAATCTTTTTTTCTTGCTTCTTTAGAAAATGGAAAAGTTTAAAAGAAAGGAAGAGAAGGGTCTTGGAAACTTCATGGAAAATCAGAACCAGCTTTGCATTAACTACACAAAGCACCTATAAATACAATCACGAGACGAGAAAACAAAAGTAACAAGAAACATTAACATAACACAGAGCTCACGAGATTCAATATCAATGGCAAACATCTTCCTCATCGCCAGTGGATCAAGAAGAACAAAACGAGAAATGAAATCAAAGAAGAGATCAAACTCCAATCCCAGTAGTTCCAACTCAGACAATAGCTTCTCATGCAAGAAGCACACGAAACACAGACAGTCTCCTGGAGTATGTTCCTTATGTCTCACCGAGAGACTCTCTAAGGTATCTCTAGAGTACAATGAGTACACTAAAAACGCAGCTCAAACGGCCTCGTCTTACTGCTCAACAGCATCATCTTCCACATCTGTCTCGTCTTGTTACTCTTCTTCTTCGGTCTCTTCTTGTTCGTCTCCATTGCAATATCGGTATAGAGAGAAGAAAAAGGATGGGAAGAAACACAGCTTGTTCAGATTATTGCTTGGATCCATCGTAGATTAGTTTTTAGTTTATTTTCAAAAGTTTTTTATTCATACTACTAGTATATTCCTTCTATGTATTCATTTTTGGTCACTCGGAAAATGCAGAGAATCAGCAAAGTTGGGTAAGACTATAAATAACAAAATTGTACTTTCAATATTTTTAATCTTATGGTGACCCAATAAAGGAAGTAAAATTTTACATATCTTTTTAAAATGCTAGTTTATTATAGAGTTATAATTGTTAGAGATCAGATAGTATTACAAGAACTCTAGTACACAAAAAGATTTTTTAACCAATAATTCCATGTTGTATAAAAAACTGCATACACCAATTAGAACCGCTTTGTAAAGATCCACATAATAAATCACGCTTTTAGGACACAAAATTCAATTTTGGTGTAGTAATAGTATTAATAAACCATCATCTAAGTTACTGGACTGAGAAAGTTTCCACAAAGATTTACAAGTTTCTGGTTGTAAACTATGTCGGTGGTAGTATATTGTGCCTTTGTTTTGTTTAGCCACAACATAATTTTCGTGGTTTGAAAGATATTTTACAGTTTTGTCAATTGCATCTTCAAATACGGTGTTACATCCAAAACATAATATACTACGATCAAATATTATCAACTTGTTTTCTTATAAAATATTTTTTTTTGAAAAGGTTAAAAATATAATATCAAAAAATATAATATCAAATATAATACCAGGGTCATCAAAAAAAAAATATAATATCAAATTTTTTTTCTTTTTGCTAAAAATTGTGCATGGGGTAAATATCCTTAATTAGATGAAAAATATTACTGCATATTGTCAGCATCTTTAATAAAATTTATATTAATGAATTCAAAATTGATATGTTTCACACAGAATGAAATTAATATACACATCAAATTTATTCTATAACCCAAGATAGTTTTAGTTTGAACCTAAAGACGAAAGAAATTCTTAGTATATATGGATATAAAGTCCAATATTCATACCAATTAAAATGCTTACTATGACTAAAAGTCTAAACACACAACACTATTCTTATAGTGCAATTCGGTATGTGATTTTGACCTACGTGGCGAGTCTTTTATATTCTGGAACAAACAATTGAGTCACAGGTGCCTGGTTAATAGCTAACGCATCACCTCAACTTGTTTAGAACATCTCCACTGAAAGGGTATCCTATAAGATTTTTTTTTCTTATTTTTTTTTTGTTTTTGAGATACTTTAGAAGTTTTCATGAATGACGATGCTTTTAAATATGAATGCCATCTTTGTCATAAACACGTAGGTATGTGTCAGAACAACAGTTGGAAAAAAACCCAAATAATTACCTTTCACGTTTCATTCTGTGTAATGCACATTTATGGGATATGTTTGAGGAAATACTAGAACAGATAATAATAATAAATACTACTCCGTAAATAAGAGCTATGACATGATAGGCTGGCGCATGACTTTTACTCAAGTTGCCAGAAAGAATGTACGGTAAGAGGACAAAGACGTGTTGTACTTCTATATCATGTATATGATTCACTTCATATCACATACAGCTGTTCTAATTATTAATTAAGCCGTACCACTAATGTCTGATGCATACAATCATAAATATTTACAGATAGATAGATGTCTATGCGTTGCGCGTCTTGGAACTCCGAAGATGCTGTATGATCACCAATGTAGTTCGGTGAAAGTTCTTTGAACATTAGTATACATATTTTTAGTTCACCAGTAATCATTAATTAGCGTTTTAGTTGTATCCTACGGAAGAACTATAATTTCCATTAAAATATTGTTTCATGGATAAACATTTGTCATTTACAGTCAATATGCGTATATTTTAAGTTTTCTAGAATATGCGTATATATTAAGTTAAATGAACCTCTCAAAACGGACCTATTCAAGTCTAGTACTCAGACCATCCTTGTCTAGTTTTTGTTTTGTTACATGACATACATTACTGGTATTTAGTGCCGGTCTTGGAAGTTGGAACTTGGAACCGGTCTCCGAAGAAAAGAAACAATGTCACCCTAATTTTGAAAAGTAACAAGGTTAATCTTTCAAGGTGCCATATTTTATTCTTCCGATTTTTAAAAATAAAAAAAAATTTAACATATACTAGCATAATTTTTTTTTGTTGCTTCGGTCCAATATAAATCTAACCTTGATTTATACATTTTTACAACTTTTAATAATCATTCTCATATTTCTGATGTCTCCTTCTATTCCGTTTTCTAAGATCTGTTTTGATTAAGCCATATATTTTGTGAAAATCCAACAAAAAGTCATCTTGAAAATTTTCACAATACCAAACACAAAAAGGAGAAAAAAAAACAATTTTGTAAACTGCTTGTTGAGTGTAGATGCCAATTGGGCTTTCAGCCTCGTCATCAAATCGAACAACGAGCTAACTGGGCCAGTATGATTTCTGATTCCGTTATATCCACTTAATAATCCGTTATAAAGCCACTGATTCGGTAATTATAGTCTGCCCGTAAAAGACTGGTCAATCATTACTCGTCTGCCCGGGAAACAATTTCAAATTTCAAAGAATCAAACGGTCGTCTATATCCGTTAAAATAACCGTTTAACAGAATTCAATTCCTACCATAAACCACACAAATATTCTCTCCATCGATTTCTCAGTAAATTCTCTACAAGACGAAAAAAATATATAGTGATCGAGCTCAAGGACTCTGACAATGGCAGATCTGGATTCCTATTGCGAATTAAGTAACGGTAAGTCATTCGAATCTCGAAGCTTATATGTATTTCGAAACGCAGAAGAGCTATATTAATCCTAGAATCTGGATTTTGATTTTGATTGTAGATATTGATATGGAACAATCAAGCCCTGAATTGATGAAAGTGGAACAATCTAGTGATCCTATAGCGTTAGGGTTTCATTTAGCATCTCCCGATCTAGTAAACTGCGGCGTTTCGCCTGATCTACCTCGAGGAAGCTACGTAGACTCGCCGGAGATTGCTAAGAAACTCAGATTCTCCACGGAGCTTTCTCTGGAGAACGGAATCGACGGCGGTAAAACTCGATCCGTGAAATTCTCAGCGATTAATCAAACGTTTGAGTTTGAGTTGTCTCCTGAGTCTTCCTTCGAGTTGCCTTCTCCGCCTGAGAATGCGACGAGGCATGTGATAAGTATTAACTCGGGTTCTATAGAGGAGGATGTGATTGTGGATGATGTGGTTTTTTTGAAAGATGAGTTTTACAGTGGAGGTGAAACGGTGATGACTGATGCTGTTGTTGGCAATGAAGAGGAAGTTTTGTTGTATCAGAAGGCTAGAGTTGGTGATTTTGGTTATAGGTTTCAGTCGTTGGATCCTGGGGATTACTTCATTGACTTGCATTTTGCGGAAATTGAGTTCACTGAAGGTCCAGCGGGAGTTAGAGTTTTCGATATATTTATTCAAGGAGCAAAGGCAAGGCTATTTTCTTTGTGTTCTTGTTCATTTACATATCTATCATTTATGATTTTGGTTGAAATCTCTTGCAGGTTATATCTGGACTTGATTTGTTTTCTCAAGTGGGAGCAAATACACCTTTTGTGATATCTGATTTAAGGATGCTCGTTGGTATGGAAGGAGAGTTATCTATACGGTTAGAAGGAGTGACGGGAGCAGCAATTCTATGTGGCATTTCTATTAGGAAGGAGGCAACGGCTACTTGTATGTTGCTTTCTAACCTTTTTGTGTCTTTGACTAGATTTTTTTTTTTAAATCTTGCATGTGAGTTATATGATTTGATATGGAGCTTGGGAATCAGATAACTATTTACTTTGTTAATCAAGCTTCAATTTTTTCTTTCAGATGTTGAAGACACTGGAGTGCTAGCAGTGAACACTGTTCTGACTCTGCCACCACAAGTGAGAGAAATTCCACTAGCATGATGTTTTTAGTTTAGTTTGAGCGTACATAAGTTCTGCAGATTATTAACATGTCGTACTATTTCTTAGGAAAATATGGACTGCAGGACGGAAGAAGAGCCCCATGATGTGAGTAAGGACAGTGAGAAAGAGATGGCGGACATGAAGAGAATGGTTGACGAACTTAAACAAGAGAATCAAAGAAAGAGTAGAGAATGTGAAGAAGCATTGAATTCTCTCCGTGAGCTTCAAAATGAGCTAATGCGCAAGTCGATGCATGTTGGTTCTTTGGGTATGTACATCCCTCTTCTTTTGCTTACATATTTTATTGCAAGCAAGAAAGCTGACGTTTCAACTTTGTTTATGTCTAGCATTTGCTGTGGAGGGACAAGTCAAAGAAAAGAGCAGATGGTTCTCTTCTTTAAGAGATTTGACAAGAAAACTGAAGGTACACGAAGCAAACTCTAAGATACTATCAGCAACTGCAAAATATTATCATCATCTTAACGAATCTGGGTTCGTAGATTATGAAAATGGAGCAAATTAAGCTGTTGGAGGAGGCCTCCACATACAAATCGCTAGTCCAAGATATCAACGAGTTCAGCTCTCACATCCACTCCAGAGGTGAGTCTTGATCTTGCTGTCTATTGTACACTGGAAACACCACTGGCACTATAATGAATTTATGAATTTGTGTATCTGTGAATCTGATTCGTTGAAAATTGTTTTTGACAGTAAAGCATGACGCAGAATTGCATGAAAATCTCAAAGCTAAATTTGTAGAGGGAGAAAAAGAGAGGAAGGAACTATACAACAAGATACTAGAGCTAAAAGGTTTGTTTTTATATACAATATTAAGTTCTAGAAGGACCTTCTTACAATGGGCAGCGAAACAACTTACAGTGGTCATTCTTTCCTCCAGGAAACATCAGAGTCTTTTGCAGGTGTCGCCCCCTAAACTTTGAAGAAATTGAAGCAGGAGTATCAATGGGAATTGATGTTGAGTCAACCAAAAATGGGGAAGTCATAGTCATGTCAAATGGGTTTCCCAAGAAAAGCTTCAAGTTCGATTCAGTCTTTGGTCCTAACGCTTCCCAAGGTGATCTTTGGCATCCATTACCCTTTGCTACTTGCCTTGCAGGAAACATCATCTCACGACATGTTTTTTGTTCTTTTTATAGCTGATGTTTTTGAAGATACTGCTCCTTTTGCTACGTCGGTCATTGATGGATACAACGTTTGTATATTCGCCTATGGCCAGACTGGTACAGGGAAAACCTTTACCATGGAGGGAACTCCAGATAACCGTGGTGTAAATTATAGAACACTGAAAAATCTGTTCGAAATAATGAAAGAAAGAGAAAACCGCTACAGTTATGAGATCTCGGTCAGTGTCTTAGAAGTTTACAACGAGCAAATACGAGATTTGTTGGTCCCTGCTTCACAAAATGCATCTGCAGCAAAAAGGTATAAGTACATAAGATTTGTAGACTCGTTGATTATAATTTAATGTTTCAGTATAAGTCAGGAAAATGGTTTCTGCTTAGTTCGACATTCATCAACTGAAATTCAATTCATATCACGGTTCTTTGAAGGTTTGAGATAAGGCAAGTGAATGAAGGAAGCCACCACGTACCAGGATTGGTTGAAGCACGCGTGACAAGCATCGAGGAGGTTTGGGATGTGTTGAAAACAGGAAGTAATGCAAGGGCTGTTGGGAAAACGACGGCCAATGAGTACAGCAGCCGATCTCACTGGTCTGCACACCTGTTTTGTTGTTCAATTTTCCTCTTTCTTTTCTGGTGGTCGGCTATCTAAATGTAGTATTTCTTCTTTGCACAGCATTCACTGCGTGATGGTAAAAGGGGAGAATTTGTTGAATGGAGAATGCACAAAGAGCAAACTATGGCTAGTTGATTTAGCCGGAAGCGAACGGGTTGCAAAGACAGAAGTGCAAGGAGAGCGGCTCAAGGAGACCCAAAACATCAACAAATCATTATCTGCACTTGGTGACGTTATATATGCTCTTGCCAACAAAAGCTCCCACATTCCTTTCAGGTTAATTATGATACATTTATTTCACTTGACGCTTGGTTACTAACCAAGGTTGCTACAGTCACCATTCATCCAACTTGACGGTTGGTTTGCATTTATCTTTGCAGAAATTCAAAGCTCACTCACTTACTTCAGGATTCTCTAGGTGCTCTAACTTTTTTCTCAAAGCAGCAATCTCTTTCTTTGCGTTACATGTTACACTTGACTTTTCTGTTATGGAGCTTATGATGAACATTGACTGGTATTTGACAGGAGGAGATTCAAAGACCCTGATGTTTGTACAAATCAGTCCTAACGAGAAGGACAACAGTGAAACCCTATGCTCACTGAATTTTGCTAGCAGAGTTAGAGGGATAGAGTTGGGACCTGCAAAGAAGCAGCTAGACAATACTGAACTCTTGAAATACAAGCAATTGGTAAGCTAGACTCAAGTTGACATCTCCATATATGTGTTTATCAAATCATTCAAGTGTTGATCTGTGTTGTGATTAATTTTTTATTAGGTTGAGAAATGGAAACAAGATATGAAAGGAAAAGACGAACAGATAAGGAAAATGGAAGAATCAATGCTTGGTTTAGAAGCAAAGGTCAAGGAACGAGACACTAAGAACAAAACCCTTCAAGAAAAGGTAAAACAATAACTCACCATAAGCACAAGAAGAACATTTTCATATTTTCTGAAACCATCACATATCACCTTCTCTGCTAGGTAAAAGAACTTGAATCGCAATTGCTGGTAGAGAGGAAGCTGGCTCGTCAACATGTAGACACCAAGATTGCTGCGCAGCATACAAAACAGCAGAACGAAGATGAAATCAACACATCAAAGAGGCCACCTTTTGCAAACATACTCTCGGGAAGCAACAAGTCCTCAAATGAAACAGTGAGCACCTCCAGCTACGATCTACCTCCTTTACCTAACGGTGGCCTCATTGAAAAGGAGAACAATCCAGACATGGTTGAGCGGTTGCAGATACCTAAGAGAACAGGAAGATTCTCGGTTGGTCCAAAACGTATTCTACCAGCTCCAGCTCCAAGAAGGAGTACTCTTGCCCCAACGCCATACCTCCCAATCACATCAACTTCGCCATTAAAGCCATCACGCCAAGCTACTATTACTACAAACTCGCCTGATGAAAAGAGCGGCACTAACCAAGAAGAAGCATGCAAAAGAGCGGCAGATAACGGGAAGACGCTGAGCAGCATCCTGAGAAGAAGCATGCAAAAGAGAATGCAAACAAAATCTAATCCAAGACAACAACAACAGCAACCGTTGAGAAGAGGTGGCATTAATGTCGGAACGGAGAAGGTTAGGCTGTCTATAGGAAGCAGAGGGAAGTTGGCTCATAGAGTTCTGCTAACCAATGCTCGTAAGGCAGGTTTAAAGGAGACACCACTGAAACAGGCACAGAAGGAGAAAGAGAGATGGATCTGAAACTATTAAACTGGTTTTTATTTCTCTATGACCTGATGACTTTAACTTGTTTTCATAAATTAAGTGATCGGAGGATGATTGATTTATTATCATCCTACTGTGTGGTTTGTTGATTCGTTTGATCCTACTGTATAGTGAGTTAGTGCATTCTTGTTGTTTCTAAACATATGAAATGATTTGGTTTCTCATTCAAGAGCAGAGAGAGTTCATAACAATGAAAAAATATCATAAGATTGAGACTTTTGTTTATTTTCAGTATCCTCCAACTGGATTACTAAGTACCTGTTGTGTTGTTACGTACATGCATAGTGTAAATTTACGTAGAAAAACACCTTTAGAAATAGCTAATCAGCGAAGCAAATAAAACAAATCTTATGGTATGATCAAAACATTGAAAAGAATCGTCCATTTTACAGAAAGATTTATCTCAAGTGCATACGTGATTCTCACTGGAGCGACCAAGGATCAGAGTATATAAGGTACATGTGTCGTTCAACTGTGAATCCTTGTTGTCGTATGTGAGGGTTTAAATTTCCAGACAAATGAGGATATGGTCCACTAGTGCATAAATGTTTCTGCATCTTCCTCATTTCTTCAGTATAATTCATTGAGACCATGTTTTTACTATTCATTCTCTTGGCTTCCTGTTGTTCTCTGGTTATAAATCTCGATTGTGAATTTTCTGTCGTCAATCATTTGTGATTCTTGTTTTAGCTAGTAATTTTTTTATTATAGAATTTAGATAAACGATTGTGGCTAGAAACAAAGATGCTGACATTCATTTGCTCGTTGTTTCACTCATCCTTATCTCTCTGCTCTGAAATCTTCTTATCTTCTTCCCATGAGTTGTGGTTCGTCTTTGTTTTCTATGTTAGTCTTTGTTCCTCGTGCTAAAAAACCGATCAGTTACCGTAGAGTCATCAACCCTCACTGCACTAGAAACCAACCTATATCATGGGAATGATCATCAAAATGTGAAATGGGGAATAGAGAGCCAAAAAGTATTTAAAGCTGATAGATGAGGATTCTTTTTAAATGTCACATGCACCACACAATTAACGGCAGAAACTTCCTACAAATACATGTACAATGTGTGTTCCTCTCCACAACTAAACTCACTCAAAATCCTAAACACACACAAAACAAAACAAAAAAAAAATCAAAAAATGAAGAAGCCTTCGGTGACTTCTTTGCTCATCACTCTCCTCTTATCTGCAGCTATCTGCGCCCACGGCACTACAAACTCCAACGGAGATCCAGTTAAGGTCGGGGAAAAATACTTCATGCAGCCAGTTAAGACAGAGAATAACAATGGAGGTGGTCTTGTTCCAGCCCCCACAAACATACTTCCGTTTTGTCCACTTGGCATCACCCAGACACTTCTTCCCTACCAACCAGGCTTGCCCGTTACCTTCCGATATACAGAAAACATCGACAGAGACTACATTACCACAAACACACCTATAAACATCGAGTTCAGGTCTGACATCTGGCCAGTCTGCAACGAGTTCTCTAAGTTATGGGCAGTGGATGACTCCTCATCTGCTATTATCATCGGTGGTAAAGAGAAGAGCCCAAAAAGCGAGTTTAAGATACAAAATGTTACTGTAGAAGAACACACTTATAAGTTGACTACCTCATACGGAACCGTTGGAACCATCCCAGGGGCTTGGGGGGGTGCACCACAGCTACTTGTCACTAATGATGAGTCTAAGACTTTAGTCGTCAAGTTCGTGAAGGTTGATGATGATGCTACTAAGTCTAAGGCTACTACTACTACTACTACTTCTCTTGTTGAAAAGTTAGGTCTATGGATGTTCCCATTCTACTAGTGTCAAGATCAAGATCATGAAATGTAAAAATCCTTGAGACTCGTCCATGGCCATTGATTAAATGGGTGGAGATAATACCCGCACGTATGTATATATGTATGTGAACTCGTCTTTACTTTCATAATAAATCATATGCATTCTTGTTGTTTTTAAACATATGAAATGATTTGGTTTTCATTCAAGAACAGAGGCTATTATCATCATTAAGTTTAATGTGTAAGAAAGACTAATAAGTAATGTTACTTTTACCTCAAGAATCTATATTTTTTATTTCTGTTTTATCAAAATCTTTTGGCTGAGTTTGTATAATGATATTCTTTTTTCTTTAATTTTGTTACAACGATGACTATCCATTTGATTCAGCGCATTGAATGCCTAAAAGCTGGACAGGTCAATGATTATTTCACCAAAAAGGAGAAAGCTAAATCCAATACTCTTCTTAATCTGCCAGGTTTAGCTGATGCCTTAGCTATCTGATCCTCCATTAGCCTCTCTACGTCTGGTCCCATATCATGAACCATTTTAACTGACTCTGAGAGACGGTTGAGCAAGTTCACCAGTGCAATCACCTCATTACGTTGCAGTTGCAGCTGAAATAAGGGACAAGGAAACATTACATATCATCACTGCTTACGTACAAGACAAAGCATGTCAAGAAACTCACTGTTTGGTCACCCTCCTTGTCTTGATTCCCAACAGAGAAGAGGATCTTCAATGCTGTCCCTAGACCCTGAACCTGAAGCTTCCCCCAAAGCCGGCATTTCTCACAACCTACACAATCCATCAATGCACTGCAAACACATAAGTTAGTTAGTTAGTTAGCCGTATTACATATTAGGCTCAATGCGTGTGTCGTTTTCGAGAAAAGTAAGACGAACCTTATGTTCCTGAATTGTTTCTGGATCTGCTGTTTAAGTTCAGGTCCACCTTGACCTTGCCAGAGCTTAGCTTCATCAAACGGAACAGGACATGCTGTTTGGAGTTTAGGACTGTACAGCAACTGTTTAATCAATGACTGTGTTTTCAGATCTTCAGCATGGTTTCCTGTGTCATACTCTGCTTGCTCCAAGTACGCTGTTGCCTATACGTCGTAAGAGTTAGTAAGATTGTTTAGATTTGGCATGTCAAAGACGGAGAAGTTTACTCACTTTAGTTACAGCACGTAGAACAAAGAGATACGTGAAGTACATGTTTCTGACACGATCCGGATGTCTCAGAATACGATCATACATAAGCTCGATGTTCTGTCCCCACTGCAATTTCAACCAAAAACATGTCACAGTCATGAACCATAACATGTTCATGAGTTGACTTGCTCAGAAACAAACAAACCTGGTTGCGTGACTCATCAAGAAGATAATCACCAGCTATGTGCATGGAGATTGAAGAATGAAGACCTGATATCAGTTTGTACAAAACTTTTTTCTCTGGACATGTCTCTCCAGATGAATCTGCAAAAACCCACCACATTACAAGTCTTTAAATATCCAAAATACCAAAACGATGGAGAAGGAGAAGGAGAAACTCACATTTAGGGCAGTTCTCTGAGTATATAGAGTCCCAAATCCTTCTAGCAGAAGCTCCAGTATAACCAGTATACCTCTCAGGGTTTAGTTGAAGATTTACATAAGTCATCTCACCTGGAACATAAGTCAATACCAAATCATCATCACATATACATTGGTGCATCAAACTGTTTTAGCTAAACTACATTACCACTATCTGTGTCATCATCATGCGTCCATGGATTATTAGTCTCCACCCAACCTCTAAATGCTATGTTATCTATAGTCCGGTCAACAGCAGCTTGTGGTTTCCCCTCTTGACAAATCAAATTATCTGAAGGAAGACCAGCAATATTGTATGGCCTTTTAAACGGTTCAGGGAACTCATTCTCTGGACATTCACACACACTGCAATCACGTAAACGACACATCCCATCGTCTGGCCAGAACGGACAATCACACCACAGTTTGACCTGCTCCAAAGTAGATATAATTTTAATTTTTTAAAAACAATGTTGGAGTGTAACATCAAAGAAAAAAGAATCAGACCTTAAAGTAACGGAAGAAAGGAGTTGTAACGAGATCTTGAAGCAGAGGATTTAAAACCTCACTGTTGAGTTTGTCCACTGTCTCGTAATCACAGCAACAGTCCTCAACCATACCTTTGTATTTACCACTTCCCTGTATATATATAATTATATATCAACAATGTCTATCAAAAGATTCAGTTTTTATTATCTTGAATCCATCACATTGCAAAAAAAAAAAAAACAGAGCTTTGACTATTAACTCTTATCAACAACGTCTCATCAAAAGATTCATTTTTTTTTATTATTTTGAATCCATCACATTGTAATAAAGACTAAAGCTTTGACCATTAACTCTTATCAACACGAAACAAAGTTCATCAGATTTAGACACGAACCTGAAGTGAGCAGCTGCAAGAGTTACGATCAGTGAAGAAGAAACCGACATTAGAAGAGGTTCGAGAGCTAACAGCAACTGCTAATAAGACAACGACCAAAGCCGCCAAAGGCCATCGCCATGTTTTTTGTCTCTTCCTTTCGCTTTCTCCTTCTTTGATTCCGCCTTTTCCCATAATTCTCGTGAAGAAAACCAAAAAAAAAAAGCCAAAAAGCAAATCAAAATGAGTCGTGACGACAGATCCTTTCACGGTAAACACGTTTTTTGCGTTTTTCGGACAATTCTCAAAACCCCATTGTTGTGTCTGAAGATCGGCTCTTATTAAGCAAAAGTCATGTAATGAAAATGCGTTAGTTTCAATGCCCGCGTTTTGACATTTCAGCGCTACGCGCGGGTTCACACACACGCGCCACGTTTAGTCGGCGCGTGTTGGGAATATTTATTTCGTTTGTCCCGTGACGTGCTTTAGCCAATAGGATTCATTCATTTGTCTCTCCGATATATAAACAACTTGCCGTTTTCAGCACGTCTCCAGTCAACGGATGGTCGTTGACTAAATACCTTTACCTGCGTTTATGATTTAAGGGTCGCCACGTCAACGATTTAGCCTTAACTTTATCCGACAAACTCTCGAGTTTTTAACTTTTTAACTGAACTCACTATCTCATAACAATAAAAAAATTTATTGGTGAAAAAGAAAACACTATTATGAAAAACTTGAAACTCTTGAGATACTACTAAAACAAATGTCATTGTATAAAGAGTTCTACTTACAAAAGTAGATTACTTAATAAAATTAGATTACAAATGTTAATATTAAATTTATGATTTACTTTTCTGAAAATCTCCAGCAATAATAATTCTTTTTTGAGTATTGAAAACTGTTACAAATTGATAAAACCTTCACTAGACTATTTAAAGCAAATCCAAAATTTTGATAAATACCTGGGCCGATGAATTGAAAGATGGGCCTATTGATTTACATCAATCGGGCCAAGGTAAGATATTATCAACCATTTTCCTAAACACAATAGTCCACTCGATCAATCTAAAGAGAGAACGATTATTTGGGTCGGACCGAGTAGGGCCTTTTGTCTCATTCATATCCCAATTTATTTTAGGATTTAAAGTAAGCCCTAAATTTCGCTTGATGCCTTAATCTCGACGTGTCTCACAAGGCAGTTGAATCCTTATTATTTTGAACATGACAAAAGAGAAGAGTTTCGGACCGAACTGATTTGTAACAGAGAAGACTTGATCGATGTTATTTTTTTTGATATGAAGGCAATTGTGCTCGCTGATATCTGAGGCTTATGGTCCTTTGTGTACTCTCAGAATCAAAGTTTTGTAGAGAGAGAACGAGACACAACTTCATTAACAGGTTCCCTTAACATATATCATAAGATTGAGATTTTTTTTTTTTTTTAATTATGGGGTATCCCAAACCTGTACAGACTAATTTCTAAAGGAGAGATGTAGTTGCCAATAAACATTTTCTTCGGACATTCAAATAGATATCTTTGTTGATCATGAATAATTGTGACTCAGTTGACGCAGTAGGTTTATGTCGAAGATAAAAGGTGTTAGCTTCTCAATCCTTACCTTTTTACCATTCGGCCACAACTGGTCAACTTTTATTTCTTTTCAGTATCCTCTAATTGGATTACAAATTAAAGTAGATGTTGTGTTACGTACATCCATAGTATTATAATTTATGTAGAAAATACCTTAGAAAAGGCTAACGGCGAAGCCAAGAAAAGCTAATCTTATGATATGATTAAGACATTGAAAAGAATCGTCCATTTCACAGAGAGAAAAAAACTCAAGTGCACACGTGATTCTCACTGGAGCAACTAAGGATCAGAGTAAGGGAGTTGGCGGAGGTAGATAGAGGGGAAGGAGGGCAGCTGCCCCATATGAATTATTGAAAAAAAAAATTATTTTCGTTGAGTTTCAAATTTATATTTGATCAAGTGTTAAAAATCCTTCTAATGTCCCCTATGCTTTTAAGTTCAAACTTTACATTACCCATGGTGAATCATTTGGCTGGCTCGCTAAAGGGACATGTGTCTTGCAACTGTGAATCCTTGATGTCGTATGTGTGAGGGTTTTAATTTCGAGACAAATGAGGATATGGTCCACTAATGCATAATGTTTCTGCATCTTCCTCTCTTCTTCAGCATAATTCATTTAGACAATGTTTTTACTCTTCCTTGTTTTTGGGGTTGTATCGTTCTCTGGTTATAAATCTTGATTGTGAATTTTCTGTCGTCACTTACTTGTTTTAGCTAAGTAATTTTTTTTTTATAAATCTAGAGAAACAATTGTGGCTAGAACAAAAGATGTGTACGTTGTTTTCACTCATCCTCATCGAAATCTTGTCTTCTTCCCATGAGTTATTGGTTGTGTTACTGTTATCGTTCGTCTTTTAATCAGCTACAGTAGAGTTGTAGAGACGAACCCATGTCACGGGAATGTGAGATGAGGAAAGAGACAAAAAAAATATTTAAAGCTGAAGGGTCCGTTTATTTTACCACAGAGGATTTTTACTGCCACCATGCTGTTTTAAATTTAACCGCAGAAACCTCCTATAAAGACCGGTAAAATGTATTTGCTCTCTACAACTCAACTCACTCAAGCCCCAAAACACAACACACACAAAAAAAAATGAAGACTTGTTTTCTCGTTACATTCCTGTTGGCAGCAGCGGTCTGCACCCACAGCCTTGAAGAGGTGAAAGACTCCAACGGAAATCCAGTTAAGGTCGGTGCAAAATACTTCATCCAGCCGGTTAAGACCGATAGTAACAACGGTGGTGGTCTTGTTCCAGCCGCCACTAACATACTCCCGTTTTGTCCACTTGGCATCACCCAAACAATTCTTCCCTACCAACCAGGCCTGCCGGTTAGCTTCGGATACCATCCAAACATTCTTGGCCGGTACAACGTTGACACATCTAGCGATATAAACATCGAGTTCAGGTCCGAGATATGGCCTGTCTGTAACGAGTTTTCCAAGTTGTGGGCAGTCGATCCCTCATCCACGTCCAAGGAGCCTGCCGTTATCATCGGTGGTGACCCGAAGAGCCCAAATAGCGCGTTTAAGATAGAAAAGGCTACTGGATCACACACTTAAAAGTTGACCACCTCATCTGGAACCGTTGGCACCACCCCAGGGGTTTGGTTGAATGCACCACAGCTACTTGTCACCAATGATGTGGCTAAGACATTATTCGTGAAGTTTGTCAAGGTTGATAATGATCATGGTACTACTTCTCGTGTTGATAAGTTAGGTCTAAGGATGTTCCCGTTCTACTAGTGTCAAGATCATGTGATATTGTAATAAGCCTGAGAGACTCTTCCATGGCCATGAATAATGGGTTGAGATAATACCCGCACGCATGTATGTGAACTCGTCTTTACTTTCATTACAAATCAAATAACTTGTGTTTCTGGCGCTTTATGAGACATACCTTTTACATTAAAAGTTTAAAACCATATTCGATAATATAGTTCTAAATTCTCATGACATATCACCAAAGTTCTAAATTCTCGAGGACTCTTATTTTTATTTTCCCTTCTGATCGATACCTGTCACCTGGGTAAAGATTCGTAATTATTTGAAAATCGAGATTGTGTAGGGTTACTTGTGGAGCGTGCTGGTTCAAGACAAACAAAGTTGCAGTATAGAGGGTCTTTGTTCAATCTAAAATAATGTCACCCATTAGTCCACATCCTTTATAATTAATGTTAGTCCAAACTTCTGATGTGTGATCTCAACATGCCTATTCGAGATAATGGCTCCTATCTGACCACTTCGAACTGAATCTTACTTAAGGAACAGTACTAAACCATTTTCAAACCATCTTACTTGTGTTGCGGTAATCTAATATACGTTTTAAGTTTTAAATTTTATTTTTCAATTTAAAAACAATTGATGATAATGGATTAGTTCAATCTTTTATTAGTATATATTGATGTTGGTTCATTTAAATTTATAATGTGGAATTTCAACAAGTTTATCTTTATCTCCAGTATATTTGATATGCAATTGAAGAAATCAACAATCTTAATAAAAATAAACAATTTTTGGATTATTCTAAAAATCAGTCCAACTGCATTTTTTTTGCTTTTATTCTTTTTTTTTGATTAAATTATGTGTCAAAAAATATACAATTCTTATAGCAAAACTTAGACCATGTTAAATTAATTTTATTCTGGAAAAGCGACTCTTCCAAAACTTTTGTGTGTGTGTGTGTGTTTTTTACTTATTGTGTTACAGTCTAAGTAGAAAAAACTGTAGTATCACCTATCCAGGAATATTGGAATGATAATTGTCGTTGCTCGTCTTCTTCCAAACAATTTTGTGGTAATCTTTTTTTCTTTATTAGATTAGTAACTAACCCCTGTTTTCTGCTTGCTTATCTTAAGCTTATATATGATCCTTTGTGTACAGTGTACTCCCACAACCAAAGTTTTGTAGAAAGGGAACGAGACACAACGTCAGTACGTACTTGTTTATGTTACATATAAGATTTGGTGATGAGTTTCATAACAATGAACAAGTGTCATAAGATTTGGGACTTTATTTATTTCAATAATCTCCGACTGGATTACAAAGTAGTTGTTGTGTTATTAACTACAGCTTAGTCTATATTATGTTGGAAAAAATGCCACAGAATAAGGTCATCCGTGAAGCCTATAAAAGCTAATATTAATGACACGATTAAAACATTGAAAAGAAGCCAATATAAGCTATTCTGATGATATGTAAGCCAATATAAGAAAATCTTACCTTATGATATAGTTTAAAACGTTGAAAAGAGTTGTCACCATTTTACAGAAAAAAAAATCTCACGTGCATAACGTGATTCTCATTGGAGCAACCAGTGATCAGAGTAAGGGACATGTGTCTTGCAACTGTGAATCCTTGTACGTGTGAAGGTGTGAGGATTTTAATTTCAAGACAAATAAGGATATGGTCCACTGATGCATAATGTTTCTGCATCTTCCTCACTTCTTCAGTATAATTCATGGAGGTAGGTAGCCTTTTTACTCTTCCTTTGCCTTTGGTTCGTGTCGTTCTCTGGTTAAAAATCTTGTTTGTGGATTTTCTGTCGTCACTTATTTGTTTGCTTGTAAAAATGTAAAAAATCATTTTGTGATTTTTTTTTTTTTAGCTAGTAAATTTTTATAAATCTTGAGAAACGATTGTGGCTAGAAACAAAAGATGTGGACATTCATTCGTACGTTGTTTTCTATGTTAGTTACAATGCATCACTGTGCATTTTCCTCGTGCTGAAAATTGAAAATTCGAACCAATTACCATAAAATTCGAAACCAACCCATATCACGGGAATGGTCATAATGTGAGATGAGGAAAGAGCCAAAAAGTATTTAATAAATCTGATAGGTTTTATTTACCACAGAGGATTTTTACTGTCACATGCATGCACAACGCAGTTTTAAATTTAACCGCAGAAACTTCCTATAAATACCGGTACAATGTGTTTGCTCTCTTCAACTCAACTCACTCTCAAACCCCAAAACCCACACAAATTAAAACAAATCAAAATGAAGACTTGTTTTCTCGTTACATTCCTGTTGGCTGCAGTTGTCTGCACCCACGGCCTTGAAGCGGTGACGGACTCCAACGGAAATCCAGTTAAGCTCCGTGAAAAATACTTCATCCAGCCGATTAAGACTGATATTAACAACGGTGGTGGTCTTGTTCCAGCCGCCATTACCATACTTCCGTTCTGTCCACTTGGCATCACCCAAACACTTCTTCCGAACCAACCGGGCCTGCCGGTTATCTTCGACTTTTATGCATTTTATGTCGGCAGAGACTCCCTTGACGTATCTACCGATACAAACATCAAGTTCGAGTCCAACATCTGGCCTGTATGCAACGAGTTTTCCAAGTTATGGGCAGTCGATGATTCCTCATCCGCTGCCAAGGAGCCTGCCATTATCATCGGTGGTGTAGATACGGCCCGAAATAGCACCTTTAAGGTAGAAAAAGCTATTAGAGGAACAAACATTTACAAGTTGACCACCTCATACGGAACCGTTGGAACCATCCCAGGGGGTTGGGGTGGTGCACCACAGCTAATTGTCACCAATGATGTGGCTAAGACCTTATTCGTCAGGTTCGTGAAGGTTAATGATGATGCTACTAAGGCTACTACTAGTGTCAAGATCATGTAATATTGTAAAAAGCCTCCATGGCCATGAATAATGGGTTGAGATAATACCCGCACGCATGTTGTTTCGTAATAAATCAAATAAATTTGTGTTTCCCGCGCTTTATTAGACATACCTTTTACATTAAAACTATATTCGACGAAAAAAAATAAATAATTTACATAAACCATAAATTCATCGGTGCCATAATCTCGACGTATCTTCCAAGGAAGTCGTTGGAGAAGGCCTTCTTAATTAATCATCTTGAACACGACAACAACGAAGATTTTTTGATCGATACATGTAACCCTGGTGAAAAATAGAAAATGATTAGAAAAAAGGAAAACTTTTATTTTTTAAGGGATTGATCGGTAGCGGATGTAGATGCTTTAGTCATCCATTTTTCTATTAAAGCATTTTTATAAAGTAATCATGCTTTAGTTTAAAAAAATTAAACTACAGTAAAATTTTTTTTGAAAAAGAAACATGTTAGCTTTCCAAAGCAATTTTTCTACAGCTTTTGTTAACTGATTTGAAAATAAATTCACAGAAAAAAATAAAGCTAAAAAAAAACTCATAGCTAATCTTCTAGAGCAAAAAGAGAAAGAGAACTTTTACTTTTCTTCATAGTCAGAGCATCTCCAACCCCACTTCAAAACTCATTACAAACTCCATTTTGCAGTAAAATCATCTACAACCTTACTCCAAAACCCACTCCAAAATGGAGTAACAAAAATGATTACTCAAAATATGGAGTAAACCAACTCATTACTCTAAAACAGAGTTGAACTTTTTTATTTATCAAATAGTCCTCCACATTTATATATGTGTCGTTTTTGATAAAATATTTTTATAAATAAGTATATTAATATTATTTTACTATGTATATTATAAAATTTACAGTTAATATTTCTTAATTATATAAATAGTCTCATTTTTAATAAAATATTATTATAGATAAGTATATTAATATTATTTTACTATATATTATAAAAATTACTGTTAATATTTCTTAATTATATAAATAGTCTCGTTTTTAATAAAAATATTATTATTAATAAGTATATTAATATTATTTTACTATATATATTATAAAATTTACTGTTAATATTTCTTAATTATATAAATAACCATATGATGAACTCTTTTATGCAACAAAATATATATAATATAAAACATAAAAGATCATACAATAGAAAATGAAAGATAAGCACCATACAAAAGAAATAACATAAAACTTACAACAAAGATAATTGCTTAATAATCCTATAAATAATTTTTGGATCCATTAAAATTATTAAAATAATCCGATAAAATATTATTAAATTCTTACATAACATGATAATAGAAGATGATTGTGATCTCGAGGTGCCAATTGAAGTTGAAAGAGAAGTCATGCCAAGGAAAGTTGAAACTGAAGGAAATAATAATGTGAGGTTCCAAAAGTTTCTTTCCCGTTTCAGAGAAATCAAAGATAAAGAAGCTCATTTTTTACTTCGAAATGCATTAGTTGATCATTTGTGGGAAAAATATTCTAATGAATAATGAATAATTTAGAATTGATGTGTTATTGTGTTCAAGCTATATAATGTAATTTTTAATGTATTAAATGTTTTCTTTTAAGACCTTGTTGAGTAGTTTTATTTATGTAATAAAAATTTAATTGTGGTTAATATTGTATTTAATAGAAATGCTATAAATTGAAAATGGACTGTTCTGAAAATAGTATAAATGAAAGGTGATATTACTAATTTTGAAATAAATATAAAATATAATATATTAAAAATATTGTTTTGGAGTAAAAAATGGAGTAATACATTGGAGTAAAACTCAACTGCATTTTGGAGTTACTCCATTTTAGAGTAGAAAATGGAGTAATACATTGGAGATGCTCTTACTCGTGGAGCCTGCTCGTTCAAGACAAACAAAGTTGTAGTATTAGAGGGTTTT